TCTTCTCTTAAGCAGGAGCATAGCAAGGGGCGGGGTATTGCTAATGCTGGGCTGCCCGGGCCGAGGGAAGCAGGAAGCTGCCGGGGAGAGGGGATCTGCCCGCCAGCTGCGGAGCGCTCGGCCGCCGAGCCCTGAGCCGCCGCAGGAGGTAGCCGCGGCGATGTTGGGGCCGCGCTGAGCGTGGGGCGCGATGGCCGAGGAGCCGGCCCCTTCGCTCCTCCGGCCGTGCCCGCCGCCCCCCCCAATGGCTCCTTCAGAGTCCGGCCGTGCTGCCCTCCCCCCCCTTGCCTGCAGGAGCCCAGCACCGGCCCGGCAGGCGCCGCTTTTGAAAAAAAATGCTGGGCTGCCCAGGCCGAGGGAAGCAGGAAGCTGCCGGGGAGAGGGGATCTCGCGAGCTGCTGCCCGCCCCACTGCTATGCTCCCCCCAGCCCCTGGGAGAAGCGAGCAGCGCCCACCCGCCACCCCTTCCCCGCGCCCGGGCCCCCCCCCCCGGACCGAGCCCCTCCGAATAATAAACAGTGGGTGGGCCTCTGAGATTCTTTAAACCTGTAGTACTGCTCACTTTGCATGAACATTAAGGATCCCAAGGCACTTTTCTTAAGAAAGGGGATTTGGCCCAGTGTCATTTGCCAAAATATTTTTCCCTTCTATATTGTTTTGCTGTATACTGGCTGGTTGCCTCCTTCCACTTCTGAAGTGGCTGCATTTCAGTAGAGCAGTATTTATATAGTTTGAAGGTGTATTAGGATCCTTAATGAATGAAAGAAGCAAGATATATATGAGACAGTTATGTAATGTTTATTTTGTAACATGCAAGCGTTGTTTGGGTTTATGTTTGGGATCCACACTAAGGGCCACACTTTTGATGACTCCCTAACCGTTAAGTGGTTAAACAGTAGTCCTCCCCCCCAAAAAAAATCTTCAATGGATAGGGTACATTTCTTATCCATTGTTCAGCATTTAAAACTTAAATACTGTGAATCACATTCTGGTTTCATTTGCTCATTTAGTGCCTCTGCATGAAGTATAATCTTCCAAACACTGGACAAGGCTGAAAAGTTCCACGGGCTGTGGGATCCTTTTGTTTCTCATGTCTTTTTGTATGCAAAGCATTCATACAACGCTATTCAGTGAATAGATCTTTGTCCAGGACCTGATGAGGGCAGAGTAGTGGAAGTCTGCAGCAATGCTATTCTGTATGTTAGAGGCATTGTAAACTCCTCCGCACCCATATTTAATGTTCTGTTGTATGTCCAAAGCCCTTTCATAGTGAGACAGGCTGTGATTTGGCTTTTGGAAACCAGTGTAGTGTTATGTGGTATTCTGTTTTGTTATGGATAATTGCCTGCTTGTATTGCTATTTGATTGTTAAGTTCAACATTTGTTTCACTAATGGGATTTAGATGTGTGTGCCTGACATTCTGTCAGCGTTTAGCTAACATTTCATGTAAGGAGGATTTCTAGTACTGGAATAATGACACTGTTCCACAGCTTATTCAATTTTGTTGAAAGAATTAATGGTGAATTATAAAAACCAATATCCACAGATAACTTCAGTTCTGAATGGCAGCAAATAATTATCTTTGCCACTGCTTGCAGGGAAAGTTTCTGCCTTCGCAAATCATTTGCATATTAAAGGTTTGCCCCCATCCCCATTTTACTTTTAAAATATACTTGTTAGTGAATTTACGTCTGGCGTAGGGTGCCCAGTGGCACTGAAGAGTGAAATCCTCTCTTTATCCACAGAACTTGGGCAGCAAACAGGGCAAGCTCCCTGTACGCTGCCCCATCAGTGTGCCTGAACCCTGTTCTGGAGAGCTCACCCCTAGGGGTTGGGAAGAGCAAAGTTCATTCTCCAAGCTCTTTCCGGTTTTCTCACAGACTTGCTGAGAGAGCTTGAATAAGTCACTTACTCTCTCTGTGCCTTAGTTTCTCCATCGGTAAAGCAAGGATGATGACAACACTACACCTGCCTTGCAGGACTGTTGAGACTTAACTCATTACTATTCAGGGCCACCCAGAGGATTCAGGGGGCCTGGGGCAAAGCAATTTTGGGGGCCCCTTCCATAAAAAAAAGTTGCAATACTATAGAATACTATATTCTCGTGGGGGCCCCTGCGGGGCCTGGGGCAAATTGCCCCACTTGCGGGCCCCCCCCCCTCTGGGCAGCCCTGTTACTATTTGTAACGTGCTTTGATGTTCTCAGATGAAATGCGCTATAGAAGAGCAAATCATTTTTACTAGTATGGACAATAATGCTCAAACATACTTTTCACCGTATAGCAGATAGCAGCCGGCTGGTTTTGGGAGGACTTCTCAGGCTTAAATACCAACAGTTGACCTTCACAACATCATCATGGCCTTGATGTAAAATCTTCAGATTGATGATGCTGTGAAGGAGCATAAAGAGGCGAGCAAACTCTGCTCCTTCATCGTTCTCCTGTAAGATGGTTTGGATGAATAAGTCTCTATTTTTCATTGGCTGCATCTTAGAGAAACAAGCTTTTTCAAAATGATTAATGATTTTGGGTGCCTCAGTTTTTGGGTGCCCAGCTTGAGACATCTTCAAGTGGCATGGTTTTCACAAAGTGTTGAGTACCCGCCCTTTGAAAATCAGGCCCTTTTAAAGCATCTCAAGTTGGGCACTTAGATATTAAGGCACTCAGAATTGTTAGTAACTTCTGAAAATCTTGGCCAAGACTCTCAAACTTACAGCTTTAGCCGGATCTCTCTTAAGAGCCTGGATTTTTACAGTAATTGTCTCTGCCTGGAACCACACCAATTCATGCTCTCATCTCTTACAAGCCCAGGGTCAGACTGTGCCAATGGAGTAAAAGGAGAACATAGAGGGGATCAAGGCCAGGTCTTGACTCTTCCCTGTCCCTTTTGTGACGATATGCAACTCTGAGGATCAACAGAAAGCAGCCTCAATTCTCTTGCAAGCTCAGAGGCTGGGACAGGCCTTTGCATGGAGCACACAAGGGACCAGGGTAATCTCATTGCAAAATTCCCCTGCACAAGGGCCAGTCACAGCCTATCCCTTAGCAGGAGGGGAGGGTGGATCAGTACTTCGATAAGAAATCTTCATGTATAGGTGCTGTAGAAAGATGTGTTAGTGATTCAGTATGTGGCCCTCTTTTCCTGAAGTTGTATTAAACCCATACCACTTGTGAGGTTGGAGGTAAAGGGATCTAGAGGCAGGTCTCCTTTCTTCCAAATCCTTCCATGTTACCCAGTGGCACATTTTCCCAGCCCAGTTACCTCTGTAATCTGTCAAATCTCTCCTTTGCTTTCTAACCTCACTATGTAAAACCCCTTTTTTACTTCAGTTGTTGCCCTCAACAGTATTACAAAGCAGTCCTTGGGTCCTGTACTAATCAAGGTCGGTTATCTCTCTGTCCTAGAGGATATCTTCCTTCTGCACTTCTGCAGTGTTGCAGACTACCCAGGGCAGCTAGTACTAAAAGGGAAATTTTAGTAAACCAAAGTAAGAACCTCAATCTTCATGACATCTGATTACACATGATAATCATGTTACACTGATGAGTTGTGAAATTGAGTCTGGAGGTGCTACTGTTGTGAGTGTGAAGAACCAGCCCCCATACTTAGTCGGGTGTAAAATGCAATATAGTCCTGGAACACCCGGGAAGTGCATAAAGCCATGTTACAGCACTAACATCCAGTACCAGAAAAGTGCCAAAAGTAATAAACCTTTCCCCCATTAATTAAAAATACTTGCCCTTCTTTTATCCAAGCATCTTTACAAACATTATGGGCTTGCTCCTGTTCCAGCTGAATCAGACACAAAATTCTCATTGGCTTTAATGGTGCAGAATTGGTTGCTTCACTGGACCCCTCTGATGTAGATAAATTACTTACCTTTCAGTCTGGGTATAAGCCAGGGATATGACTAACACTGGTGTTGCTTGAGTAGCGGGGTTCACTAGCCTGACCATGGGTCTGATTTTTGAGAAGTGTGGAGAGTGCACACAACTCGAGGTGAACACCTCTGAAAATCAGGTTTAAGGTATAGAAAGTGGGAACCTAAAATTAGAGGCTGCTTCTGAAAATGCTGGCCTAACAGATGTGTCCAGGATCCTATCACGAGTCAATGGTAGACCTGGGAATAGAACCTAGGCATCCTTACTCACACTTCCCTACTTGAATCACTAGAGATCACATTCCCAACCATATTCCCATCTCCCCCATGGTAGAGACATGTTGCCACAGCCATTTGGGAGACTACAAATGAATCAGTCAAGTTCAAGGAGATAAAAATGACAGTTCACATCAATGTACATGTACATGTCAGTGTTTTGATATTTCCTTTCTAAAAACAAAGGAGATTCCTAGATAAAATGCCTCAAGATAGACTTAAGCTTGTAACAACATATCACATTAATTTAAAGCATTGTTGATAGAATGTTGTAGTAATTACTAAACAAAAAATGAAAACCAAGGTATTTGGAATTAAGGTTCTGTAAACAACTCCCATATATCCAAACACTGTATTTCATCTACATTGCTGAAATGACCTCCATCATTGTAGAAGACACCAAAATCTCACCTCTTATCTATACAAATGCAGAAGAAGCATCTTCCTCATCACCATTCCACTGTGAGCCATGGACCTTAATCTACTTGATATCTACTTTGTGTACACAAATTAGAAAGCTCACTGTGTCTACTTCATTCATACTTCCTATATAGCTTGAGACTGCACACTTAGAAACAAATCCAGTATACAACTTTGCTCCATTCACTCTGTGTGAATGGCCACAGATTCCTGAGTAACACAAGTAACCAAACATGCATGGGTGTGTGTATAATGTCTTATATTTTCATTTGTAGCCCAAAATAAGAAAGCTTTTAAAATTATTGCAATAATAATAATATACCAATATTCCATTAGGTGGAAACTGAGTCCTTATAACCTTTGAGTCCTTATTATTTAGGCTTGATTTTTAGCAACAGCCTGAAATATCCATCTTGTTGTATAGGTATGGAAACCTGGAGACCTCAAACTGTGAAGAAGATGGGAGCCAGAATTCCTCAGAGTCTAAAACAGTGCTCAGGAAGTAAGTGTGGCTTTATGCTGTACAGCAAAACCTCAGTCAGGATTGGATATTGAGAAAGGATGTGGTCAACATAATCCTCTTTTCCTTTGAAAATACGCAGCAATCCATACTCGTTTTGATAACACAAAGCAGTAACTCTGTCATAACTCTAACAGATAGTACAAACCTCAAATCTCTGAGGGAGGCCAGGGGAACTTTCCCAGAACAGATCAGACATGTTTCATGTGGGGGCCAACACATTATAGTGAGAAACTAAGCATGTTTGTTTCCCTTGCTTTTCTTATCCACAAAAATATATGATTATTCTTTATTATTGATTTTGTATTGTATTGCGATAGTGCCTTGAGACCCCCAAGTGGCGACGAGGGCCTGCTTGTGCCAAGCTCTGTACATGATTCTAAAGTCATTTTTAAGTTTTGATGGCATGGTATGTTGTGTGCAAAATGGTGAAGCTATTTAAAAATATTAAATGTAAAAGAATAGTTGTCTTTCTCTCTTTTTAATTTCATGTGAAATATTATTTATCTTTAAGAGTCAAGAGTAGAATGAATCTTAGGTCACAGTATTTGTACTTTGACACCTGAATGATCTACAATTTGCATCTGCAATGGCAGCATAAAATAGCTGGATGATTGTATTTGATTACCCTGAGTAAAGACCTTTGACTCAGCTCTGTACAGCGTGTCAGTGCTGTCAACTTCCCCATAATACTGTCACAAATTCCATCGATGGGAGCATTATTAAACGTTTCTTAATTTCATTTTGCTGGTTTGTCTGTTGCATAAGTGAAGAAAGGAGTCCACAGCTTTCAAGTTCTTCAGTTTGTTTTGAAAAAATAAGTCCAACACTCCTTTCCCATCACATGCCATATACAGCATAACCAGTGTTTCAAGCTCTTACTCTAGTATGTTTTCCTGCTAGAAATAACATTTTAACTGATGTTGGGGTTTTTGGGAGGGGAGAGGAGGTGGGGTTTGCATTCCCTATTCCAGCATTGTCTATTCCTAAGACACAGGTAGGTGGGTTTTATAGAGTATGGCATAGTTTTTCAAAACAGCATTATATTCTAAAACATTGCCAGCTCATCTGACACGCCAACCCCAGCACAGCCCAGCTCCTTACTCTACTGGGTCTCTGTGCTGGTTGTGATGTCACAGCATAGCATGCTGTGGGGCATCTTATTGAATCTGAGCTGGCAAATCTGGACTTGAGATGGTATAAACCCTACTCAAACTGTAAGTTTGACAGTGGGCTCCATACCCTGCTGCCCTTTGCTGTGTGGGTTTAACAGGGACGGAATGTGGGTTAGTGGTTAGGGACCATGCTTTGGAAATCAAGACTTCCTGCTTCTAATGCCCACTCTTAAACTGAGGGGTTGTCTACATGTGAAACGCTACAGAACTGTAACTGTGTCTCTGTAGTGCCTCAGCGTAGACACTACCTACGCTAATGGGAGGGGTTCTCTCATCGACATAGGAAATCCACCTCCCCAAGAGGTGGGAGCTAGGCGGATGGAAGAATTTTTCTGTCAACCTAGTACCATCTACATGGGGACTTAGGTGGGCTTAACTATATTGCTCAGGAGTGTGTATTTTTACACCCTGGAGCAACATAGCTGGGTCAATCTAATTCTCTAGTGTAGACCACCCCTGATTTGCTTGGTGACCTTAGGCAAATTGCTTAACCTCTCTGGGCCTTACAGTTTCTTCTTCTTTCACATCTGAAAAATACCAGTAATGAACTTACAGGACTGTAGTGGCGCTTAATTAATGTTTGTAAAATACTATGAGATCCTCAATAGAAGGCTTTACTCAGAGACGAAGTATTATCCTGTGGTAATTTTTGTTATACACTTGTTGATCACCTTTAAATAAATGAGGTCAGAAATTAAGAGCTAACCATTGATAGGTTTGAGAGTTTGGAAGAAGAAATGTACTGGCTGTCAAGGCATTTGTACTGGGTTCAACACGGCAGCTTGAGTCTCTGATTCCTCTCTGCTTGAGGGAAAATAGAGCTAGCTGTATTGTCTCCCCATTTTGTCATAAAGCACTCATTCAAGCACATGTGGCAGTTTTTAAATATGTCAGAAATACAGAGAAGGCAGTAAAATGTGGTGGGTAGAGAAAATGGCTGAAGGCCAAAGGGTCCTGGGCTCCAATCCAAGCTGAGCCATTGAATCCCTTATGACTTTGGGCAAGCCACTTGACCTCTCTGTGTTTGGGTCAACCCAGCCATAAAACTTGAGCTAAGGCAAGCTCTTGTTGCAAAACAGATGATGGATTTGAGTGAGTTTCATGGGAAAATAAACAGCTGAGGACCAAATATATATGTGAAGTATAGGGAGTATGTAGTGGTGTGGTGTAGCATAGGGGTTTGTCAGCATGAGTTTGAGATGGGGGTGTTACGAGTGGTGAATTTTAAAATGTACCATTGAAAACATTGGTACTGTAGGAAAAACAGATATTGAAAATGTGCTTGAAAAATATACCAACATAGAAGGAAAAAATATATTATAAGGAAAAAATTGAAAGCAGAAGAGGGAAAGAGGCGAGAACAAAAATGGAGAAGATACTTTCACCAATGTAAATTCAGACAAACTTCAATGTCTTTGGGGAGTCACTCTGGATTTATACCCATGTAGGAGTAAAATTTGACCCTGGATGTAAATTTGAGAGAAAATGGGTGAAAATAGTGAGGTATTTCACTGATATTGTCATTCAACGTATGTGCAAAATGACAGTCAATTGCATGTCAAGTGTGTGGAAGTGAAAGAGCAACAGAAGTAGCAATGTGTTATGGGTCTTTTTAAGCAGCACTGCCTTGCACACTTTAACACCTTCCTGCTATTTGCTTTTCCTGCTACACTGTAGCTTCTTCCCTCTCGATACATAATTAATGCACTTTTGCACAACCCCTGAATGCTAAATTGGTGCAAGTTGCATTGCTTTATCACTTAAATACTTCTTCCAATGAATCTACATCCAGCACGTAATTTACACTAACATTTCCAGCACTACTGAATTTGATCCCGAGACCTCCATGGGAGTGGTAACTTCTTACCGCATGTCTGAATTTTATCCACATTCTTTTTTCTTATTAATTTACAAAAAGTTTCATACTAAAAATTTATAACAAAACGCATCAGATTAATAAATCTATAAAATGTATACATGCTTTATAACTACAGATTCACACTCATTCCTCACCATTTCCCACTGCATCCCCCTTGGCTGCTCTGGCTACTAGCCTCTAACATTAATGATAGATTCTAGGAAGTGGATAGCTTTCTGGTCATCTTGTATAACACGTGGTACTGGTAACTCAGACTTTCTCTTGGCTTGCGATTCTAATTCAGATATGATTTCATAACTCATTTCTCATAGAAGAGAAAACCGATACATCTTATGCTCACATTTTTATAAGGACGAAAGAAATAATAATAAGAATTGGTAGTGTTGGTGGCTAGAAATAACCTGTCTCAGCATTTCTCTGTGGACAGTCTCTCACAGGGAATCATATAGTCAACAATTTTTTTCTTTCTCATATACTTTACCAGCCTTCTATTGTGACAGTTCAGAGTTACGTCTGGGATTTTAGTACCTCATCATAAAATTTAAAACCACACTTCCACTGGTTTTGTACAAATATGCTACATAAGAGTTATGATTTTAAAAACAACTTTAGGATCAGACTTTAAAAAATAATGGCCTGTCTGCTCTCCAGGGCTATTAAAGATCTCATGGTTCTTTTAAAAAAAAAAAAAAATAGAGATTTGCTCTGGCATTTTGGGTCATAACAACCCTGTCCCACACTGTTGTCTATTGTGCTGGACAAATAAGGAGTATGTCGGTTCAGGATAAAAGAATACATGAAGCAAGGCAAAATAAAAATCCATATCAAGAGTAGAACTAAGAGAAGAACTAAGAAAGCTTAATAAAGGTATGACAATATGATAGTATTGAATGCCTAGAAGTTTACACGATAGACCAGTTAGCTTTTTGACAACTAGGCCGTATAGTTCAGATGTGTGCCTGGGTTGTCTCGTTACCTTGTAACCAATATATAGGAAAATGCTACATTATTTTTTGCTGTATTAATATTCCCAGTGCACCTCTGGTACAAAGACCCCACAGGCTGCATTGGCATTAGCCATGGGACACTAGAAAGATATAGTTATATCCATGAGCTTTCATGCCCATTTTAAGAATTCTGTGGAGTGGATCAGCCAACCCAAGCTATTTAGGGGCCCCAGGTTTATTGAAGTTGTTTAGTGTATTGTGCATAAGAAAGACAAGCTTTCAAGAGATATCCCTCAATCACAGAATAGGTACCAGAGCAGTGGTGAACAGGTCCTGAATCAACTTCTTGGCATTGATAGAGGTTGTACTCTCTACACATCTCTGAAAAAAACTCATTCTCCATATTAAGTTTAAATTCAGGGCTAGTTTAGTGCTGACAGACTGCTGTACTAATACCCACAACTTAGACATATGGGCACAGTCCCAAATGTATTAAAGAGGCAACACATTAAAGAAATGGAATATTTCCCATACTTAAGATAGCAAGCATTTAGAGTTGGCCAGAGCTCATTCAGGATAGATGGAGACTGGTAAAGCCTTTGCAGTACAAAGTGTTGCATCTGCTTGTCTGGGTTGCAGATCGGTGCTTTAAATGGATACCGGAGAACATTTTACCAGTTGTCAGGGTCAAATGTAGTGCTGAGATCATGTGCCTGTGGTTCACTGCTGGGGTTGTGACACTGGGAGTGCTTGGTAAGTGGCACATTATGCACTCCAGCTAAAGGTGCTTAGAATCTAGCCATCAACTTAAAAGGCTCATAGTAACAGTTCGTAGAAGTGATGAATCAGTCTTCAGATTAGACTGCAGATTAGAAGTGTTTAATCTAAATTTAGAGGTTCATTTGCGATGTTTGCCGTAAAGGGGGACAAATTTAATGTTAATAAGTTGCGACAAATCCACTGATTTGATCATATTTATTCAGTGTCCTGATACTTGCGTATGTCCACAGAGAAATGCTGAGTCAGGTTAGGCATTTCATTAAATAATCTGATTTGGAGAAATATCAGAGAATGTTGTCTGTAAACAATATGATCTTATATTCTTACCTGTACATAGAAATGCCTCATATATTTAGCCAGTGAAATTACTATTCAAAGGATATCAATAGACAGAGCCAACAAAATCTAATAACAGTAATAATGGAAATGTTTCACATATGTTACACAGTAAAGAAAGTGAATCACATTTGAATCCATTAATTTACACGGATGCTCTTGAGCCGAAATAGAAAAGCTAAGAGCTTCAGTAAACCCTGTCCAAAGTTATATTTCTCAAAGATACTGAAAAGAAAGCTTCCGAGTCAGAAAATCAGCCTCCTGATTGTGGTATCAGATATTTAGTAGGCATTTTTAGTTAGCTTTATTTATTTTAATTATTTGATTTTATTTTGCAGCATAGTGAAACCACATTAAGGGTGCTATGAAAAAGGAGATTGCTTGTCTCAATCAAACTGAGGCTCGGGAAATATACAAGCTCTCTTTTGTAGTGCAAAGAATCAGTGACCTTCCCACTCACTGGAAGCCCACCAACAGTTCTCTTCTCCCATATCCCCAAGCATTACTGCTGCACCAGCATGACAGAGGATTGAGGGTTGAGTCCCAAATGAACTGGAGCCACATCCAGGAAGATGGAAACAGAGAAGACTGTATCTTTCCTTCTAAAATTGATTTCAATTTACCAGTTCATGACATCCCCTATGTATCCATTAAGCGACAAGGAGCAAAAATGAATCAAAACATTTCTAAATGCTTGGTGCCTTTGTTCACTCAGCTAATGTCAAATCCAACTGAATCTGCTTTAGCTAGAACTATAAAAGGAACTTGGAATCTGATGCAGGAAATGAATCAGGCATCAAGTTCATGTCTAACCCCTCCTTCTCCTGCTGCACAGGAGGCTTCCACAAAGCCTCTCGGTAATAATGACCATGTGACATTCTTAGAGGCTCAGCTCTAATAAAGTACTACAGTGTTCCATGTTAATTATCCAAAACACTAGAACCTTCAATACCAATGCTGCAATGTTTTGGGCTATTGTTATAGAATGCTTGGGGTGGGGGAAGGTTATTTTTAATAAACTATTGATCCAGACCCTTTTGTGTCTTTAGATCTTTGTGACAGAGAATTTGCCTTTTGTTACCTGTAAAGCTTATTATTTCAGCTGCTTATAAAAGGGTTTGGTGTACTTAAAGAACCAGATACTATGGGAGGGAAATCTGTGAACCTTTGGCTGACATTTGTACAAGGCTTTCCCTGGCTTCAGGAGATGTTCCTGAGGATTTGAAAGTAGCAAACAACATGATTCCCATATTACTTTAGACAAGGTAAAACTGAGACAATATGGTTGGGTTAACTTCATTTGTGAAGGAAATCTTGGAAATCATGTGAAACAGGAATGGTGGGACTGGCCCTTGCAAAGCACAGTTCGGCTGTTGGTATGTAGCGTGGATTTAGGAAAGGGGAGGTCAGAGGAACAAAAGCTTCCTGTCTGTCTGGCTGATTCAGTAAGAAACTAGTCAGCCATCTTATATAACCCCTTTTGCAAATATACTTGGTGCTGCACAGAGCTGAAAGCATAGCTTATGTTCATAAAAATTTCTCATCCTGGGGATAATAGTGGTGGACTTGGCAGAATTTTTAACCCCAACCAAGCCACTAAGATCCCCAAACTCATTCTTTAGTACCAGCTGGGGTAAGAAAAATGCTGTGTGTCTACCTTTGCAGAGAGAGGTCCTCAAAATTCCCATCTGGACCTCTGCATCAGGACTTGCTCCGTCAAGGCCCCACATCATAGCTATCCTTCCGGTCAAGGAATATTGGGCAGAGCTCATCTTGTAGCTTATCAATGCCACTCCAGAATCAACTGATGGAGTTGCTGTTAAGAGATATGAGGGACTCTCTCCCTCTGGTTTTCCATGTGTTTCCTGTCCTACTAGCTCTGCTCGCTGGGTGTAATAGAATCTTTGGGGCCACTGCAATAACTTCATAGTTTGTCAGCCTTGGGATATTGCATTGCATTGGGGGGGCATAATGTGAGGTGATGAGTGGTGTCCTGTGGACCCATTTTGAAAGGTGACAAAACTACAGCTCTCTTCCCACCCAACAATGGGCTGAGTAAGGGATTTAAAATTTTAGGGACAGGGTTCATACCAGTGGAGCAAGGAGAACCTCTAGACTAGTGAATAACAGCTTGAAAGCATTACTGAACAGAGCCCACATTGTGTGGCTCTCAAGACAGGAATTTAAAATCCAACTGTCAGTGGCAGCCCACAAGATATGCAGTACAGTATACCAGGGGTTCTCAACCTTTTTCTTTCTGAGCCCCCCTGACATAGCATAAAAACTCCATGGCCCACCTGTGCCACAATAAATGGTTTTCTGCATATAAAAGCCAGGGACAGCATTAGGGGGTAGCAAGCAGGACAATTGGCAGGGGCCCCACACCGCAGGGCCCCTGCGAAGCTAAGTTGCTCAGGCTACTGCTTCAGCCCCAGGTGGTGGGGCTCAGGGCCCTGGGCTTCATTCCCAGGCAGTGGGGCTTCAGCTTTCTGCCCTGGGCCCCAGCACTGGTCGTGCTTGGCGGACCCCCTCAAACCTGCCTGCGGCCCCCCAGGGAGCCCCAGACCCCTGGTTGAGAACCACTGCAGTATACAATGTGGGGACAGACAAAGATTTATGGCTTGCAATCCCCCCATGAAGAATAGATTCTATGATGTTGCTTTCCTGTCTGAGATCTTGGAAGTCTCACATTCCTATCTGTTTCTTGGCCTATCAAGTACAGGGAGTTTCTTCCCAGGGACATCAAACATAAAGCTGCTACAAGATTTGGGCACTTGTCCAGCCTTTCTTCAGAATGCTTCCCTCCCTAATGTACTGATTGTTTAATCAGCCGATAGGAGGTCAGTGGGATACAGCCCCTGTCTGCACAATGTACTTTTTTTTTTCTTTTCCCCTCTTGACTGAAATTATTTTGCTGGCAAAATCAGTGTCTGTAACTGCTGTGAACTCTTCAACTCCACTCTGAGAGATTGGGCTTGTGTTAAACTCTGTTTATTTTTCAGTGTATGAAAGTGCCCATCATCAATGGCACTAAATATAAAAAATGTGTTGAACAGTATTAGCACTAAAAAAAAAAAAACCTTCTCAGAGCTATAAATGAGCTCTCAGTTGCAACGCATCTCCAAATGGGCAGAAGCCTGATGAAAGGTCAACTTACCCTGGCCCCTGAATTCAACAGACTAGTTGTTTATTGTAAAAGTGGGGTAAGCCACTGGTACTTCCAAAACAGCAAGACATCTCTTTAAAATGCAGTATGGACATAGAAGCAGGAACATCTGTATTTGAAATAAAAGTAACTTTTAAACTAACCTCTGACTGAGGAATGAATGAGCTTGTTTAATGAAAAATATTAATAGTGAAATGGAAGATCCCAGGCTGTTCAGAAGAATAAAGCTGATAACCACAAAGAGTTTAGATCCTGAAGTCCTTACTTGGTCGTTAATCAAAGGGATTGTTGACTGAGTAAAGCTGGCAGGATTTGGCCCCAAGTGAACCATCTGAGTTGTACGGTCTTTGTTTTGAGTTTGTAATGAAGCCCCAAACCAAGAGAGTTTTGCGTGTTTTCATCCTTGGTTGTTAATGTTTTGTGCAGCTCCGTTCTTGTAATTCTAGAGTTACCCCTGCTGGCTGCTCTAATCAAGTAATATTACTGTCAGCTTTCAAAGCACTCTTTCTGACCAGAAAAGCAGATTGCTTGCCATATTATAGAAGGGAATGGAAGAAACAGTAGTAGAAAATACGGAAATGTTTGTAAAATAGCAAGTCAGCATAGTCTTAAAAACATACTGGCTATACAGGGAAAGAACATGGAGTAGGGCTAGAACATAGAACAGAGGGTGATAGACAACCCAAATGCTAAAGCTTTTGAGGTTTTATTTTGCATGCTTAGTTGAAGCCTATCCAAACAATCTGCATTTCTTGTGTCTGCTAAACTGAAAGAGAAACATTGCAAAAACGATTTGGTTTGTATTTTGGGTGAAGGTTGTGCGTGTTTGGAGCAGGGATGTTTCTATTATTATCTGAACCAATGGTACCTTGTTTGATAGAGCTACTGGATTAGATAGGCGAGTTTTGGTGCTGCTAAAAATAATGGATCTGATTTGCCACTGTCTTGCATCTTTGGGGAGTGATTGAGCACCTATTTACAATGGTGTATATAACACCACTGTAGTCAATGGTAAAAATCTGTGTAAATGAGATTACAATAAAACTCGTGCAATAAAGCTTGTATGCAAAAATGGCACCAATTCAGAACTCTGTGTTCACGAACAGCAGTGGTAATATATTACACTTATTCTGTTCCCTCTTTACACAGGTATACAAGACATACCGTATGTAATCAATCAATCTTTTCCAATGTACTTCTTTTCAGTGCAATAGCCTCAATCTTGAGAGCCTGGCTTGACCAATGCTCTGAAGACTTCCGAGAGCCACCCAATTACCCTTGTTTGCAGAAATTGGTGGATTACCTTAAACGGATCATGCCAGGCTCTGACCCGGAGAGAAGGGCACAAAACCTCTTGGAGCAGCTTCAGAAGCAAGAAGTGAAAAATGAGAGTAAGTTACATTTTTGCACGGCTATTACTGCCTAATCTCCCAGACTATCCTGAAGAACCTGAATTTTCAGGGTAAATTTTACGGGGTGTATGATTTTGATCTCATTTACAGTGATGTAGCTCAAGAGTGACTCCACTGAAGTCAGTGGGGTTACAATGGATGTAGAATCAGGCTTTCTGGACTTTTGCTTATTGAATCCCACAGAGATTGTAGCTACCATAGGGATGAAATACAAACATGAAGTGTGGAATAATATGTCTAGTAATTCTGATAGAAATTTGGGGAACTCCAGCGTTTCTAAGAACTCTGCCAGTGCACAGAAGTTGCTGCAACAGCGATATAGTTAATTGCAATTGCATTCTCTGTCTTCAGAGTAAAACCACAGCTGCTCTCTAATTAGTTTTTTCATTAAACTAATTAATTAATTAAAAATCCCATCAAATATTACTATGCTATGACCAAATGCAGCTTCAGTCACAAGCCTATTTGTCATGAAAGCTTCTCTTCCAGTTACCACCATGTCAAAGGAAATGCCTGTGGCTGTTTTTTCCTATTTGAGTGACAAGCTGCTGACATCCAAGGACAGAGGAAAATTTTACTTTACCAGGTCAAAGATCCACTGAAACAATAGTGAGCTGTAGTAACACACAAATGCTATGTAGTGTCAAACTTGGCACATAGTCCGTACCCCAGTTAGAAAGTTTCCTGTGACATAATTAGCATAGCTAGAAAGTTACCGGAATTTGTGCAATGTGAGAACCAGATTCAATGTCCATCTTTGACAGATGAATGAAAGGAAATGATACATGGAATAAGAAGGAAGAAGGCAAACAACAAAAAAGTAGCATTTCATCTCACAAACGTTACCTGCCGGATGTTCCAGAAATGAGGAATTATTGCATAATCAGACACAATGCCAAATGAATTTATGCATTTAAATCTGTATAAAAAGGCCTATTGCATAAAATCCAAATGTTTTCCTCATAAGAAAAAAGCAAGTCTACAGTGTTGCTAATATGTGTCTAATGATGTTCTTTCCTGGATTTGGTTCTAGCAGGCCAAACAATGAAAGTCCAAGGGCTCTATTTTTTAGATCCAACTGTTGTCCAAAAGGAGCAAAAGTTCCCAAGCACTCAGCTGCTGCACTAATTTCCTGAAGTAACACTTGAAAAGGTTGCTACTTGAGTCACAGGCACTTCACTTGAATGAGAATAAAATTACTTGAATGCTGCAAGGATAAAGGCAGTTAATAAAAATTAACAAGTTATTTTGAGGGTCTGATGAGAGCTGCTTTATAGCGGTGACTCATTTTATTTCATGTCCGTTCTGTGTCTGCTCACCTTATACAAAACTGAAACAATCATTTGTTTCAAAGTTCAGATTTGAATACACGATAATAATCATTGTTATAATTTAATGCTATCTAATGCTATACATTGACATGAACTTTACAAATATAGACCCAGATCTGACAATCTGATTGATATGGGGCATTGCACAGGTCCACCCTTTGTGGATTAGACTGCCAGATTGTGGCCATAGAGACTACATGTTCTCTGCCCCAAAGAGCTTGCAACTTAAAAATACACAACCAGGCAAGCACAGGACAGCAGTTCAGGAGCAGGAGTGTATGGAGATTACTAGTGATGTCAGGAAGAGAATAGCAGGTTTGAGAGATGGGTGTTAAAGAAGGATTTGAAGGAGGAGAGTGTTCTTCGCAGATGGGGACTGGAAGACTGCTTCAGGTTAGGGACAACGTGACAGAAGGTGTGAAAATGAGAGTGGGAAAAGAAGATAAAGGGGGCTGTAAAGGAAAAGACTTGGGAGGGGCAGGAAGGTGTGTAAAGAAAATGAGAACAGAGTTGAAGACAAGATTGTTTAAGATCTTGTGGGTGTCATGGAGTTGAATTTGATAATCTAGGATGCAAAAAGGCAGTGGGGGGATTCCAGCAAGGGGCAGTGTGCTCAAAAAAATTGGAAAGAGGTGATTTTCATATACCGTTGTTATGAAAATTAGGGCTGTCAATTAATTGCAGTTAACTCACACGATTGACTTAAAAAAATTAATTGCGATTTATCGCAGTTTTAATTGCACTATTAAACAATAGAATATCAATTAAATATTTTTGAATGTTTTTCCACATATTCAAATGTATTGATTTCAATTACAACATAGTATACAAAGTAGACAATGCTCACTTTATTTTTAATACAAATATTTGCACTGTAAAAATGGCAAACAAAAGTAACAGTATTTTTCAGTTCACCTCATCAAGTACTGTAGTGCAATCTCTTTATCATGAAAGATCTACTTATAAATGTAGATTTTTTTTGTTACATAAGTGCACTCAAAAACAAAACAATGTAAAACTGTAGAGCCTACAAATCCACTCAGTCCTACTTCTTGTGCAGCCAATCGCTAAGACAAACAAGTTTGTTTACATTTACGGGCGTTAATGCTGCCCGCTTCTTATTTACAATGTCACCTGAAAGTGAGAACAGGTGTTCGCATGGCACTTTTGTAGCTGTCATTGCAAGGTCTTTACGTGCCAGATATGCTAAACATTCATATGCTTCTTCATGTTTTGGCCACCATTCCGGAGGACATGCATCCATGCTGATGACGCTCATTAAAAAAATAATGCATTAATTAAATTTGTGACTGAACTCCTTGGGGGAGAATTGTATGTCTCCTACTCTGTGTTTTACCTGCATTCTGCCATATATTTCATATTATAGCAGTCTCGGTCATCATGATGACCCAGCACATGTTCGTTTTAAGAACAGTTTCACTGCAGATTTGACAAAACGCAAAGAAGGTACCAATGTGAGATTTCTAAAGATAGCTACAGTACTCGATCCAAGGTTTAAGAATCTGAAGTGCCTTCCAAAATCTGAGAGGGACAAGGTGTACAGCATGTTTTCAGAAGTCTTAAAAGAGCAACATTCTGATGCAGAAACTACAGAACCCGAACCACCAAAAAAGAAAATCAACCTTCTGCTGGTGGCATCTGACTCAGATGATGAAAGTGAACATGCGTCAGTCCGCACTGCTTTGGATCGTTGTTGAGCAGAACCTGTCATCGGTATGGACGCATGTCCTCTGGAATAGTGGTTGAAGCATGAAGGGACATATGAATCTTTAGTGCATCTGGCATGTAAGTCTCTTGTGACGCAGGCTACAACAGTGCCATGTGAACGCTTGTTCTCACTTTCAGGTGATACTGTAAATAAGAAGTGGGCAGCATTATCTCCTACAAATGTAACCAAACTTGTTTGTCTGAGCAATTGGCTGAACAAGAAGTAGGACTGAGTGGACTTGTAGGCTCTAAAGTTTTACATTGTTTTATTTTTGAATGCAATTGTTTTTTGTACATAATTCTACATTTATAAGTTCAATTTTCATGATAAAGAGATTGCACTACTGTACTTGTTAGGTGAATTGAAAAATACTATTTCTTTTGTTTTTATAATGCAAATATTTGTAATAAAAATAAACATAAAGTGAGCACTGTACACTTTGTATTCTGTGTTGTAAGTGAAAGCAATATATTTGAAAATGTAGAAAACATCCAAAACTATTTAAATGGTATTCTATTATTGTTTAACAGTGCGATTAATCACGATACATTTTTTAATTGAATGACAACCCTAATGAAAATCCATTTCCATGTGCTTATTTTTATAAAATATCTGCAGATAAGGCTGCAGAAGACATTTCCACATACCTCCTTTAGCTCTTTGAATAAATTGGTATATCTGGATTCCTGTCTCTGCCTTCCAATAGTTCTAATTTGTTACAGTAGAGTCTTGCGCTAATGACTGGGAGACCCAATGTGAACTACTAGAGTTTGCAAGGTAGTGAACAAAGAGAAAACAAACATTTTGGGGGAAAAGGAAGATCCATCACATAATGTCCTTTGTTATTTTGACATTTGCTTAGTTGTAATTTGATATGAAATACTTCAGAGATACTCTGAAATGTATTGTATATTTTGTCAAGCCTTAGTAATCGAGACCTCATTACAACAGCTTTGCTGTTAAATCTTTGTTGAGAGATGGGAGAGTCCACCAATTTTTGTATTTTTTTGGACTGGATCTCCTCTTCCTGCAGTAAAATCCATGGGATGGGGACTTAGGGAGAATGAAATATCTTCATCGATCCTTTAGCTGAGATCCGCCCTAATCCTTGAGTGGTGGAGAAAGTTTTCCCTGATGGACTAAACCATGGTTTTCCCCCCAAACCTGGAGGGTCCTCTAGGATCTTTGTGCATCTTGGGGAAGCCACAGGCTGTCAGAGCCATCTGCATTGAGTCCCTGTGCCTCTGCACCAGCTCTATTTCCCCACTCCCAAGTAATGCTGATCCCGTGGAGTCTGTAAAGGAGTATCTTGCTATGGAGACTCAGCATCAACTTTGCAGAGCAGGAAGAACCATATTGGGTTACTCTCTCTTCTCCCCAGCTTGAGTCACACCAGGACTTCTATAGGACCCCAGGAAGGAGAGTATACTACCAAGGAAATGTCTAACACCCCACCCTTCCATACAGGAGAGTCTAAATCTGAATGCAAAGGGTCCCCTATGCACTGAATGTGGGACACTATCTGGCCCTTTGATAGTTCGATTTTTTTTTTTTAGGTTATAAAGCATATTGACTATCGAGGGGTGGATTAATGAGGTTCTGCTATAGAAGGGAGAAATTTTTATACCTGCAAGTCTTGTCTGTGTTGGTTGTAAATTCTTTAGAGGAAGGACTCTCTTCCATTATGTTTCTCACTACAATGCCTAGCATGAGAGAGCCCTGACATCAGTTAGGATCTGTAGGCTCCACTATAATACAGATAAATAATGGTAATAATAAACAATGACTTTAATGTACTGTTTAGCACGTGTATGTTACCAAGTAATATTATATTTTCCATGCTGGACAGATGGGTTCCATAACACCTTCACTTTCAGCCTTGATGAGGAAGAGGAAATGGAGACTGGTGGGCCAGAAGAGTTCTCTTTTTTCCCAGAAGACCTTGTAGCAGAGCAATTAACATACATGGATGCAGTAAGTACTGTGTACATTTAGAGGGGAAAGCTACTGGGGAAAATGCTAGGGTACTTAGTGTTGTTATTTTAATCTTTCTTTTAACTCATGTTAACCAATACAAATGTAGTGTTCCAAAAAGCTGCTAGCCTTATCAGGGCAGCAACACAAAACTCTTTTAGGTTACTTGATCCTATTTCAGCCAGTTGGATTGTTTCATTCAGCCAAGGGTTTTTTAAATTGTGTGTGTGTGTGTGTGTGTGTGAATATATATTGCTAGTTCATGGCCTTTTTGCAAAGATCAAGGATAGCATAGTATATGTTTAATATCTGATACCGGTTGTGACTATATCTCACTCTTACATAGACATCTATAATTACTATGCTCATACTAGTCTGTTCTTGTGGATAGTATTGGTATCTTTTGGTGTGTGTGTGTACATAAATAGATATACTCATACTGTATATGTGATATGTGTGTACACAAGACACGCTCCCCCTTCTCCCCTTTAGCTTTTTGCCAGCCAGGGTGGAAAACATTTAACCCTACCACAAACCTACACACACGGTCATTCAGTGAACCAAAGAAAAGAAGGCTGGTCAATCAGCGTGGGGGGAAGGGGGAACCCAGCTGAATGTGACAGTGGTACAGCACCCCCTGGAAGACGGCATCCAGGGTGACTGCCCGGCTTCCCCTCCCCAAGAACCAGCCCTATGCAGCCGTCCATTAGCTCAAACATGCTAAATGTTCTAAGTACTTTTTAGCTGACCATGATATATTTCCTTTTTGCCTCAAGTATATATGGAGCAGAGTAAATTTTCATATCAGAGAAAATGAGCATTTATCTGTTAATACACTCTCAGTTTTAGATCCAGCATACTGCAAAAAGATGTATTTCTACATATTAACAATAGGAATCTCAGAGAGCCCTGTTGATTTACAAACCTCTTTCTTGTTCTAGAAGCTCTTTAAGAAAGTGGTGCCCCACCATTGCTTGGGGTGCATCTGGTCTCGGCGGGATAAGAAAGAAAACAAACACTTGGCACCCACCATCAGAGCCACCATCTCTCAGTTCAACACAGTTACCAAATGTGTCGTCAGCACCATCCTGAAGGGCAAGGACCTCAAAACACAGCAGAGAGCCAAGATCATTGAGAAATGGATTCATATTGCACATGTAAAGCATTCGTTCTGTCCTGTTTCAGTTAATGGTGGTTTGGGAGGTGGGGGGTCATGTGCTTTGTCCACAGGTTATTTTTCACACTGACTCCCTTGGTGGCCTTGGGCAAGATCCTGCATTTCCCCATCCTGAAAATGGGGTTGTTAATGCTGCCTTATCACAGCGTTGCAAGTGTTAATGAGTGGATGATGCATGTGCTTCAAAGGTAGGAAGTGCTGTGTCAGTGCTATTATTATGGTGAGAGAGGTTTGCAAAGTCAAACAATTCATCTTCCCTAGGAAAGAAAAATGACTAATCTTCTTGAAGGAAGTGGAATTCTGTCGAAGTCCTCTTAAAGTTAGATGCATTAGGCCATATTTCCCAAGGAAAGTGTAACAGGAATGTAATAAGGTCACTGATGGTGCCCACAAAACCCCACATAGACTGGGTGGTTGCATCTACAGCCCATTTGCTCACTCAGGTATGTGTTTTGCTTACACACAGTCAAATGTTAATGAGTGCAGAGGATGCATGCTCATTTTTGTGTGTCCCCCTGTTGCATCCTTATTTGAAAGTTTGTCCCATCTGTTGTTTTGAGAGGGGAGTTCTCCAATATCCTCTAATTTTTCTGCCCTTTTACTCCTATTCACCCCTTTTATAAAAGGCCTCCACACTGCTGATGACCTGCACCATAATTTAGGGCAGGCAGGGTCTGGATGAAGCTCCCTCTAGAGCCTCGATCAGTCAGAGGGGGTCAATGGAGAGTGATAGGTGTTCTCCCTTTGACGGACTCAGTGCAATGATTCTGCAGCATTCTTTCTTAGTCCTTGATGCCATGAGGGTGCGGAGTAGGGGTGAGAAACCGAGCTCGATTCCAAGCGAGGGCCTTTCCACATGGTAGCACTCTGTGTTATTAATAGACTAGTGGACCCCCAAGGCCTAAATTTATTAATACTCATTTATCAGCTATCCAGGAATGATTGCATCCCTCTTGATGCTTCATGACTTCTGAGTAAACTGTGTGAGATGATTCAGGGACAATCTTTAAATATCATAAGAACATAAGAATGGCCATACTGGATCAGAACAATGGTCTGTCTGGCCCAGTATCCTGTCTCTCACAATGGCCAGTACCAGAACTTCAGGGGAAGTGTTCAAAACAGGGCAGTTGGAGTCATCCAACCCTGTCTTCTCATCCCAGCTTCTGGCAGTCAGAGGTTTAGGGTTGCCCTGAACATGGGGTTGCATCCCCGACCATCTTGGCTAATAGCCATTGATGGACCTATTTTCCATGAATTTATCCAGTTCTTTTTTCAACCCACTTATAGTTTTCACCATCACAACATCATATGGCAATGAGTTCCACAGGTTAACTGTGTGTTATGTGGAAAAAGTACTTTTGCTTGTTTGTTTTAAACCTGCTGCCTGTTAATTTCATCAGGTAACCCCTGTTTTTTGTATTGTGTGAAAGGGTAAATAACACTTCTCTATTCACTTTTACTATACCATTCATCATTTTATAGACCTATATCATATCCCCCCCCCCTCCTGTCTCACTTTTCTAATCTGAACAGCCCTAATCTTTTTAGTGTCTCCTTGTATGGAAGCCATTGCTTGCCCTTCTCTGAACCTTTTCTAGTTCCACTGTATCCTTTTATGAGATGTGGCAAACAGAACTGGACACAACATTCAAGGGGTAGGCAAAGAAATATGAGTAAAACAGTAAAAGGTGCTTCCTGTGCCCTTTGCTTTAATCCCAGTTTGTGTTTCTCCTGTTCCAAATGGGAAACTTGGCTTTTGAGCAAATGGAAACTATTTTGAAGGAATCGACTGCAAGTGAGATTCTATGTATCGGCTACCAGAAATACAAAATCCCTTAGAAATAATTCATCTTTGTCTTCAACAGGTAATTGTAATTTCTTTCCTTCCCCATTTATAAATCCCATAAAACTAGAATTTAAAACATGAGATCACCAAACTAGATATTTTCTTACTTAAACACAAAGTATTTCAAAGTAAAGTAAATGGTAAGACTTAGGTAAATGATCAGACACAAAATTTATAATAATAATAGTAAAAGTATTTTGGGGAAAAAGCAGAAAAATTAAGTTATTGCTCATAGTATTGTTGTTTTGAATAACCCTTGACACTGCAATATATTTGCTTACGGAATCATTTACTTTGTCCATTGGGCATGGTCCCTAGTTTGTAGTTACAGATTTACTCAAAAGAACAGAAGAAATGTTAAGAAAGGCCGTCTGGTTCAAGATGCCTGCCCTTTCTTTGCTTCATCTTAATCCTATTCCCTGCTTTTTCTCCATACCCCAGGTATCTCTAGAACTCCTTTTTACTCTTTGCTTCAGTTGCTTTCCCTAGTAATGGATTCCATATGTTTCTCACTTGTTTGCATGATATCATTTTGTCTGAGTTCCTTCAGCAACCCTGGCTTCCTAATTTTTTAAATTGTATCTTCTATTTGTTGGATGCTTCATGAACTGTGCTCATGAGGGCTGGACTGCTGGCTAGTTTTGTTTTAATGCTTCAGTGTTCCTTTAAAAATAAATCTCACGCACATTAAAGAATCGTGGATTCTTGCAAAGAGATTCAAAATAAGCAATACTTAAAAAATCAGGACAAATATTGAGTTTTCCAGTCTTAATTTGTTTTTCTGCCTCTAGAAGCAAAATTGTTAGTATTGACACCTAGACAGGTGGGAATGGATGGCTCAGGGAACTCTGCTGGCTGACTCTAGGCACGTTGCTTCAACTTTCTGTCCCTCAGTTTCCCCACCTGTAAAATGGGGCTAATGATCCCTCCTTTGTAAAGCACTTTGAGCTTGACTGATGAAAAAGGCACATAAGGACTAGGTATTATTATGGGAAGTAGAGTCTTTCACCTCTACATTGGCAGTTCTACTTCAGCTTAAATCAGTAGGTGACCAACTTCTGTTATCATCTGATGGTTCTTTGATGGCCAGTGTGAAATGGCTTAGATGGTGTCAGTCTTGTTTTCTGGTACACAGGTGTCAATCACAAAAACCATCATCCAAGGTATTAATGGACACCCTTGTTTGGAAGTTTAAGAGGCGAAGGATTGAATGGAGATTAAGCTACCTTCTCATTCCTAGGGGTGGTCCCTCAAGGACAGGGGATACCTATTGAGAGGGTAGTGGGAGTGGCAGGGGAAGTCTGGACTGTCACTGCCCACATAGTATCTGATCTTTGACCTTCAGCCTCCAGGACTGTCAATCTAGCATCTTTCACCAGTCCTAAATTCACACACAAAATTAAATACTGCAGCCCTAGTTGAACCCATGAAGAATGCATGTGCACACTCAGTGAAGTAATTGCATGGGCAGAATGGCTAGGTACACATATAGTTCCCTACTTCTAAATGGAATTGCTTATTTTGCATGCACAAATGAATGTTTTGCATATTTAGGTGCCTGTGCTTGAGAATCTGCCCGTTAAACTGGAATTAGTCACTAAAAAAATTATTCTGTAACAGGGCCGGCTCCAGGCACCAGCGAAGGAAGCAGGTGCTTGGGGCGGCCAATGGAAAGGGGCGGCACGTCCGGGAATTCGGCAGTGGGTCCCTTAGTCCCTCTCTTCCTCTTTGAGCTGCCGCCGAAGTGTCGCCGAAGAGGAAGAGAGGGAGCGAGGGACCCACCACCGAACTGCCGCCGAAGAATGAAGCGGCGCGATTGAGCTGCCGCCGAAGTGCCGCCGATCGGCTTTATCTTTTTTTTTTTTCCCCGCTTCGCCGCTTGGGGAGGCAAAAAAGCTGGAGCCAGGCCTGCTCTGTAAATAAGGCAGTGTGGGGTTCCATGCTTATTGTCTGTCAATGATCTTCAGAGCCAATTTGATACATTTAAAAGTCAAGATATGTTTTTCTAACTGCCAGCCCTTCAGACTCCACCTCGGATCTAAAATTACTGAGCAAGAACGGCCAATTTTCTACATTAAATATTTTCTTTAAAAATAAAAAAGGAATCACTAATTGCCTGTTAAAATTCCTTTTTAAAATCAAGGTTATTTTTGAGTATTTCAGGTACAGGAAAGCTTCTGATTGTTTTATGTGTGTGTCACTTAAAAAGAGGCAAAGCAATTCTTAAAAAAACCCTGAGGCAGAAAAATGTTGGCTAAAGTTTAGCCTGTAGTGAATAAAATGAACATCTGAAAACATGGATATATAATGGGAGTCCTGATGTTTTTCTTAAATCCAGTGGAAGCTGTAAACTAAAGATGGGCCCACACTGGCACCTACTTTCCCAACCTCTTTCATGTTGGGGGAGCAGAGTGTTTCACGATCAGATTTCTGGATCCAAACCATCCCCTATGGTTTGGATTCTGAGCTGAGCCCAAACCAAGAAGAAGCCTGTTTTCTACTGTTGCCAAAGATCTTGTGAGAAAGCTGTTTTGTGAGATTTTGGCACAAGGTGCCAGAAATCTTACAAGAATAGCTTTCGAGCTTTTGGTGTCATCAGGTCTGACCCTGAACTTTTGAATAATGCCTTTGGCCCCAACTAGTCTTTTGACACCAACCTTAGTACAAACCTAGCCCAAATGCCATCACCGTATGCTCTGCTACTCTCTAATATTAACATTATAAGGTAAATTCTTAAACAGCATCTAATGTTGTGCATAGCTCGTGCTCATAAACATGTGAGTAACGTTAGAGGCTGCATTTAAAAATGTGACTTTTAATGTTAATATTAGAGACTAGCAGAGCAGGTGGTATTTGCATGTGCGTGCATGAACTGCTGGGCTGTGGGCACTCTTTCATGAGTTCTTTGGAGAGCGGGTTAGTCACAGGATGCTTATTCTTTTTCCACCTCCTCCTTCCTTCCATATAAGCCTCTGTTATAATTGCCACAAAGATGTTGTGTGATCACAAATGGGAGGGAGATGTCTTTGAGCCAGTCTCTCTATTCAGATGTGCTCCCCCCATGGAGAGGTTTGAGAGCTCTTACCTTAAACAACATACATGCCTGAATATGTTGATCTTTTGTGTGTATTTTTAAATTGTCATTTAGTTTGGCAAGGTTCATCATTTTAAATTCAACTTGCAAATAGGCAGGCCCCAACTTTCCCCAGCAGGGGGAGAAGGTAATTATAAAGTGCTTGTTAATAGGATAAAGTTTGTTTTCTTTAGCTTGACTTCAGAGACCCACCTCCACTAGTATTTTTACTAGGAGAGCTGGAAGCTATACAAAAAAATGAAAGTGAAGAAAACAAGGATTAAGTGCCAAAACCTATAAAGGTTTTGGTAGGTGGGGAGGGAGAGGGGAGCCATTTTTGATGCCCTATATTTGTACAGCTGCCTATTGAGCAGTAAGAATTCACCGCAGCTGTGAGATTAGAAAAACAGGAAATCGCCAGCTCACTTGTAATATTGATCTTTAACTCTCCTTTATTTTTTATTCCCTCCCTTTACAGGAATGTAGAATCCTGAAGAATTTTTCCTCCTTGAGGGCCATTGTTTCAGCACTACAGTCCAACTCCATCTACCGGTTAAAGAAGACCTGGGCATCTGTTCCAAAGTAATCCTCCCACTCTCCTTTTAGCCCCTTTCATCTGACTGGCCCACAACAAAAACGAAGTACAGTGACGCTTAGGGCAGGTCTATAGTACAAATTTTTGCTGATGCAAATAATAAGACCGCCACAATTAGTATATTGTTTGTGAGTGTGCATACTTGGTTTCTTGCATTGGCAGTGCACATGCTCACCACGAGTGCTTGTGTTGATGCATGGTGATGTGCACCATGGGTAGGTAGCCGAGAGTGCAACCCCCCCACCATCCAATCCATTGTATTTTGGGAAGTTTTGGCAAAGCACGGTGGGGCAGATGTGAGTCACACAAGGGTGACTGGGAGCAAGGGGTCAATTTCCCAGCATGCAACTGTCTCCATTCCATAATGTTATCTAAATCTCATAATTTTCATGCCTTTTTTAAAAATCCCACAAACCCATGCAGCCCTCCTCACTGTCCGCCATCTCTGACAGAAGCATGGAGCCTGCACAGCTCTGCACTACTGTCATAAGCATCGCAAGCACAGGACGCACAATCCTGTGGTATTTGCAGAGCCGTAAGAAAAAAACTAATCAGCATCGAACATGAGGATTTCTTGACAGACAGATTGCTATGGGACATAGCGAGAACCAAATCAAGATGATTGGTGGCATTCACTGGGTAGCTGTCGATGTTGGAGCACCGCTTCTGGGCCCAAGAAACAAGCACTGACTGGTGGGATTCCATCGTAACGCAGGCTTGGGATGATGAGCAGCGACTGCAGAACTTTCAGATACTCAAGGCCACATTCCTGGATCTGTGTGCCAAGCTCACCTCAACCCTCCAGTGCAAGGTTGCCAAGATGAGAGCTGCACTGACAGCGGAGAAGCAAGTAGCAATCGCACTGTGGAAACTTGCAATGCCGGATTGCTACCGGTCAGTGGGCAACCATTTTGGAGTTGGAAAATCCACTGTGGGGGCTGCTGTGTGTGCAGGGCCATTACGACTGTGACTGTCAGCAACATGCAGGACATAGTGGATGGATTTGAAGCAATGGGATTCCCAGGCTGCAGTGGAGCAATGGACGGCACGCATATCCCTGTTTTGGCACCATACAACCTTACCACAGAGAACGTCAACAGAAAGGGTTACTTTTCATGGCTATGCAATCTTGCAAAATGCTGAGCCAGCGGCAATAGGAGTTGAGGAGGCTCAGCACCTCAGTGGATGGGTCTCTGTGCTGACCCACCTTTTACATGTTTGTTTGTTGTCTAGTCCTTCATCACTGTGGAAAACTGGATAATAATGATGTAGGCTTGATTTAGGGTGCTTTGTAATCAATAATTGACTTAATTCCTCTTCTGCCTAGGGACAGGATGCTGATGTTTGAAGAGCTGTCCGATATCTTCTCAGACCATGACAATTATCTGACGAGTAGAGAGCTGCTAATGAAGGTGAGAATGAGGCTGAGAGCAAGAGTTATGATTTGTGTCAGTGCTGAACTCTGTCGCCTATCCAGTCGCCCAAACCCACCCCCCGGGCTCCATTGTAGGGAGTCTTACAGAGCACAGTTCTGTGGCATGCAAGGAGTGTGCATGCCTGCTTCCTGTGACCTTTCTGCCCTCTGGCACAGCAGAATTGCATTGGTTCCACTGGCACTGACGCTATGCACAACTGGAAGGCTGGGATGGATTATGGGATTTGCCTACTAGCGAACAGGTGCTGTGGAAGGTGTTGAGATATCTGTTGTCTCACTGAGGAGCGCAGCTCAAAGAAGTTGCAAAATAGCACAACGGCAAAGGATGCAAAAGTACTTCCCAGAAATACAGCTGTTCTAGATAACCTTTCAATCAGTCATAAGTTCATCTAGAAAGGTTCGGTACTGATGAGCATAAAAAAATACAGAGACCAGATTCTCAGCAGCTGTAAATTGTCATAGCTCCTTTGACTGCAGTGGGAGTTATGCCAGTTTACTCCAGCTGAGGATTTCATCCAAGATGTTTGTCCAAACTATCCCCACCTTCTTGGAACTACAAAACAGGGCTGGGAATCTGGAAGGAGCAGGCTTCCTGCTGTGTGTGTGGCCAGAAATGCCACAAAACAGTCTATGTTGCAGTAGTCTGCGAATTCTGCTGTCAGATCCGGGTGAACCCCAAAAATTCAGAGGCCCCTGAAAATGAGAAATACTGGTAGTGAAGCATGTTGGTATGAACCTTTTAGAAACTAAGGGAAGGTTCAATTAGATTTCTCTGAGCTCTGTCTAATTCAGTCTGTTTCTATCTGGTCTATATCTAGTCTGTCTAGAATTTATAATTCACCTCAGCATTATAATGTCAAGCACTGAATTTTGGGCAAAGGCTCAGTGATGGTGGGTGATTTTATTCAAACTTGATGGGCAGTAGCTACTTAAGAGCCATTTATCAAAATGTTTTACAGCAGGTGAAGTAGTAATAAATATTGAGAGGAGTCCTTATCTATCCAGCCCAGTTTAATTAACTAAATGTTAAACATCCCCGAGAACAGACCTATTGGCTCCTGCCAGATCTTATTCTGCAAACCATTCTGAAGGCAATGAAATGAGCTTATGATGATCTCGCTCAGCTGTTTTATTTAACTTCGTTCAACTTGTGACAACCCGAAGACTAGCTTCAGATGAAGCCTGGAAGTCTCTCTTTCCTAATTGTGAGGACTGCCACATCCTTGAATAGTCTCCCCAAGGAAGTTGTAGCAGACCTATCACTTGAGACATCTAAAGCTGGAGTGGACCAAAACAACTGAATATACTTTTGACAGGACAGCATCTCGCTCCTGTCTCTTTTCTAGATACAAACTGCTTGGAGACCACCTTTTGTTCAAACACCTTGTGCAGTTTATTTAGTGTTCTCCCCATTACTGTTACAAACCTGTGCAGCGTTGTGTTTACAAGCATACTGTCCTTAGTTCACTCAGCCAAGAAACATGGAGTCAGAAAAGATTTCCCCCCCAAGAGATCTCTCCTGGCTCTGCCTTGCAAAAGCCTGCCAGTCTCTCTGTGCTCCCCTCAGCATTTCCTTCCTGTGTCTTTTCTATTTTCTAATCTAATGAGCTCATTAGCCTTTTGGGCTCTCCTCAGCCCATCCCAGCCTATCAATTAGGCACAGCTTTACCCCTCAGGTTTATTCTGGGGTGCTATTGGTGGTCAGTGATCAGAGTGCTAGTACAGCTGCTGTTACCCAGCACTCTGTCACAGTACTGTATGGAATAAGCCAGAAGTGGCTTGGTGGGTGAACCAAGAGGTCTTTCCATCTCTAAAATCTAGAGCACTACAAGCCTTCTGCACCATGTGCATGAGTAATTCTTCTGTGGTTTGGAACTTATCATTTAAATCAGCTTCTGTACCAAATGACTAGAGGATAGCTAATGTGACACCAATTTTTAAAAAGGGCTCCAGAGATGATCCCGGCAATTACAGGCCAATAAGCCTGACTTCAGTACCAGGCAAATTGATTGAAAATATAGTAAAGAACAGAATTATCAGACACATAGATGAACATAATTTGTTAGGGAAGAATCAACATGGTTTTTGTAAAGGGAAATCATGCCTCACCAATCTACTAGAATTCTTTGAGGGGGTCAACAAGCATGTGGACAAGGGGGATTCAGTGGATATAGTGTACTTCGATTTTCAGAAAGCCTTTGACAAGGTCCCTCACTCAAGGCTCGTAAGCAAAGTAAGCTGTCGTAGGATAAGAGGGAAGGTCCTCTCATGGATCGGTAACTAGTTAGAAGATAGGAAACAAAGGATAGGAATAAATGGTCAGTTTTCAGAATGGAGAGAGGTAAATAGTGGTGTTCCCCAGGGGTCTGTTCTGGGACTAGTCCTATTCAACATATTCATAAATAATCTAGAAAAAGGGGTAAACAGAAAGTGATAAAATTTGCAGATGATACAAAACTACTCAAGATAGTTACGTCCAAAGCAGACTGTGAAGAGCTACAAATGGATCTCACAAAACTGGGTGACTAGGCAACAAAATGGCAGATGAAATTCAGTGTTGATCAATGCAAAGTAATGCACATTGGAAAACATAACCACAACAAAAATGATGGGGATCTAAATTAGCTGTTACCACCAAGGAGAGAGATCTTGGCGTCATTGTGGTTAGTTCTCTGAAAACATCCACTCAAAGTCCAGCGGCAGTCAAAAAAGCTAACAGAATGTTGGGAATCATTAAGAAAGGGATAGATAATAAGGCAGAAAATATCATATCGCCTCTATATAAATCCATGGTATGCCCATATCTTGACTACTGTGTGCAGATGTGGTTGCCCCATCTCAAAAAAGACATACTGTATTGGAATTGGAAAAGGTTCAGAAAAGGGCAACAAAAAATGATTAGGAGTATGGAACACCTTCCATATGAGAAGGGATTAATAAGATTGGGACTTTTCAGTTTGGAAAAGAGACGACTAAGGGGGGATATGATAAAGGTCTATAAAATCATGACTGGTATGGAGAAAGTAAATAAGGAAGTGTTATTTTCTCCTCCTCATAACACAAGTACTAGAGGTCACCAAATGAAATTAATAGGCAGCAGGTTTAAAACAAACAAAAGGAAGTATTTCTTCACACAACGTACAGTCAACCTGTGGAACTCTTTGCCAGAGGATGTTGTGAAGGCCAAGAATATAACAGGGTTCAAAAAAGAACTAGATAAATTCATGGAGGATAGGTCCATCAATGGCTATTAGCCAGGATGGATATGGTGTCCCTAGCCTCTGTTTGCCAGAAGCTGGGAATGGACGACAGGGGATGGATCACTTGATGATTACCTGTTCTGTTCATTCCCTCTGGGGCACCTGGCATTGTCGGAAGTCAGGATGCTGGGCTAGATGGACCTTTGGTCTGACCCAATATGGCCATTCTTATGGTCTTATGGAAGTCCAGGCTTCTAGGTTCCATTTCTGTCTCTGCAACTTACTGTTATATGACCCTGGGCAAGTCCTTAAACTCCTTGTTTTCCCCAACTATAAAATAGGTGTTGTATTACTCACCTATCTGATAGGAATGTTGGGAGTCTTGATTAATTAACATTTATAAAGTACCTTGAGATCCTACAAAAGGATCTTTACAAATGCAAATTATTATTTATTATTGTTTTGGGACTCACTAGAAAAAGGGGTCATAATCTCAGAAATAAATTAACGTCACAAGGCAAAGGCTACAGAACTGTTATGAAATATGGCTCCCATTCATATAGTTATTGGAAAACCTAAATCCCTCAGCCTCGAATTGTGCAAATCTAAAACAAACACTTTTATTTCCTGAATGTCTCTGTATTACTCGGAAAACCATAGAGGTTAGTCATCATATCATAGAGTCACTGTATAAAAAAAGAAAAACACCAGCGTGTTGCATAACAGAGGGGAGAGATGTTTATTTGTAAAATTGCTGATTGCGAAATAAGTTAGAGGTCTAAGGACAAAAGGCCCAGAAGCTGCGTTCGGATGAGAATCCAAATGTATGGCGCATATTCAAGCTTCTTGAATTTAAAAATCTCAGTTGATTTGTGGTTCTTCTAAGCTTCACCTGGGCCAGGACTGTTTTGCAGACAATCTCCCTTGTGGTAATTTGGTATGATTGTCTCCAACAAACCCCAGCAGTGCAGAAGCCTTAACTTTTTTTTTAAAACAAGCAAAAAAGTTAAGCACACATTTCTGAACCTCAGGGCAGTGTGGCTCAACTGGGTGAATTTTCATGTATTTCAGTCCTACCAATAATGTCCCCCATTAATTGCCCTTTCATTCACTCCATAGGAAGGAACATCCAAGTTTGCAAATCTGGACAGTAGTGTGAAAGAGAACCAGAAAAGGACCCAGAGGCGGCTTCAGCTCCAGAAAGATATGGTGTGTGCAGCATGCTGTTCTCTCTTCTCTCTGAATTTATACCTGGGATAATAGAAGCAAAATCCAGAAATGCATTTTAAGAAACAGAGCACAAAGCACATTATATCATGCATTATACCATGCAAAAACCCTAGAGTCAATACAACAGTGAGGTTGATCAACCAAGTACACAATGTCAAGGAACTTAAACAGTGAAGATTGAACACTCAGCCTTAACTCTGTCCCTTTTTACATATGGCCTAAAAAATTCTTTCTGTATAAATTTCTGTGTATTAATAAACAGACATTACAGTATAAAACAGAACAGAAACAGGAGTTTGTAATACATCTTTATGTACTGCACAGATATTATATGGTGTGTGCTGAACTGCCAAGCTGTAACAGAATTATTGTATGCTGTGGTGTTGTAGCCAAGTCAGGTCATAGGATATTAGGGAGACAAGGTGGGTGAGGTAATATGTTCTATTGGACCAACTTTTGTTGGGGATTGAGACAAGTTTTGGAGCTTGTGCAGAGCTCTTCTTCCAGTTTGCCAGCCCTGAAATAGAACTCTGTGTAAGCTCAAAAGTTTGTCTCTCTCACCAACAGAAGGTGGTCCAATAAAAGGTAACACCTCCCCACCTTGTGTCTCTAAACTGTCACAAGGGTGACCAGAGAGCAAGTGTGAAAAATTGAGACAGGGGATTGGGTAATAGGCGCCTATACAAGACTAAGCCCCAAATAACGGGACTGTCCCTATAAAATCGGGACATCTGGTCACCCTAGCTGTCACTGAGCAGATAATTTGAGAATCCCAGCTGTCCTGTGCTCCAAAAACTCCCATAAATTTACTAAACTGCCACAGGAAGTATATTTACAAAACATAAGTATATATCAAATGCCTGAAATGAGGAAGTGCTGATGGCTGTAAAAGACTGCAGGAGTTGGAGGAGAAATGGTGGTGCCAGAGTATTTGCTGTTGCACCAATAGCCACTTATCTATCCACAGCAGGAGTAAAGAAGGGTGCCTAGAGATACTTCCTTCACTTCCACCTCCATCTACCCAGTGCCCAGCCCAGCTTCTCAGGATTGGATGCAAGACTGAGGACTTGGGCCTTAATTTCAAGACTTTGAGAAATTTATACAAACCACCGCATGAGACAGCAATAAATGATTGATGGCTGTACGCAGATATCCATAGCCTCTGACCGGCTGGTCGTCTTTCCTAAGGAAGCATAGGAGCTCTTATTCAGACTCCAGTAGCAATCTCTATTACCCTTTAAACAAAGCTGTGTGAAAATAACCAATTTTCACTTGGTAAAATGTTTACTGCAAAAACATGAAAAGTTATATGATGTTACAGGAAAATTAGTTCTGGTCAAAGAGAAATTGTCATTCACTTCAGTGAGCTCATGAAACACACAGGAACTCTCAGGATTTTTGAGAGATCTGCTTAATTTTTATGGAATTTGCACAGGAGATGATTCCATATGACCATAGGTGCCAATTTCCACTGTTCCCGGTGGGTGCTTGACCCCACCCCTGGCCCTGGCCTCACCCCTGCACCGCCCTCACCCCGCCCCCATTCCACTCCCTTCCCCCAAGTCCCCGCCCCTGCCCTGCCTCTTCTCCGCCTACTCCCCTGAGCGCGCCACATCCCCGCTTCTCCCCCCTCCCTCCTGGAAAGTCCTAAGCGTTGGGAGGTAGGTGGAGGAGCGGGGATGCGGTGCGCTGGGGGGGAGGGGAGGTGTAGGGTGGGAGGGGAGCTTGGCACCCACTAATTTTTCCACGGAGTCGGCGCCTATGCATAAGATGTGCCTGTTTCCATTTTTGCCAGTGAAAACTGCTTTTTACCCTGATGAAACTGGGAGTGGAATGTTTGCTGAAACAAACGGCTTTCTCAGACAAACTGATTAGGAGGAGAGATCTGGAAACGGGGGGAAACGGAAGCAAAAACTGCTAAATATTTTCCATTTTGGTTGACTGGCAAATATATGAATCTTTTTGCTGGTTTTAGTAGCAGTGAGAATTTTTTCCTCACTGATGTAGAAACCCTGACACCAAATAAGGTAGAAGACTTAGGAAGGTTGAAAGTTGAGTCCTGAATTAATTAGAACACAGTGATTATCCCAAGGAGGACGTACCCAGCTTGGAGGGAAAAAATGTGACTGTAATCACACGATTTTATAACTTCATTAAAAAGCAAAGACCCACCGAGTTGAGCCATAGGAAAAGGCTATTTACACAAAGTGTTAGGAGCCATCTGCACAGTCTGAAGGGAGCTGTGGGATGCTGGCGTTTGTGCTCCTTTTAACATATTTTACACTCATTCCACCTGTAGGACAGCAGTAGGAATTCTATGTGCAGGAACTAGTGTTGCAGAGGCCCAAAATATAGCCACTCTTCAATATCCATTTGTTTATTTGAATAACAATGGCCCCATCCCACTCCCATTGAAGTCAATGGCAAAATTCCTATTGATTTAAATGGAACAGAATCAGGCCCAGAATTTTGCTGCAGGCTTTCAGCTGACTACTCTGTATAATATATTATATCATAATGTACCGGCTGGAATTCATAGCCTTTCTCTGACAATTAACCAGACACTGCTCTGATTGTCTGCAGGGAGTCATGCAGGGTACGGTCCCCTACCTTGGCACCTTTCTTACAGACCTGACCATGCTTGACACAGCGCTGCAGGACTACATAGAGGTAGGTTTGTGCAGCTTCTTGAAGTATAACCCCTCTCCCTGCAGTTGTGATAATTGGGCCAACAAATTTACTAGCCACCACTGAGGACAAATCCTGATGGTTCTGTATGTTTCACTTTTGTCACATCCTCATATGAAACATTCACAGACGTATAGAGGAGTTTGCAGTGTCAAAAGTTATAGATGGGGAGGATGAGCAATATTTTTATTAGGAAAAAAAGATCTCTACTGAATTTAATAATGGAGCTTATTTACTAGGACATTAAGTGTGGTACTTTATGCTCAAAATTTATGTTTTGCTTGAAAAAATCCTAATGAGAGTATAAAAGTTTTTATTATTTTATTTTATTTAAAACTTTTATAAAAATATAAACTTCCCCCCTCCGTGTTGGGAAACTCAACACCACAAAATTGTCTTAAGTTCAGCTCTTCAACTTGAGAAGTTAAGTTCTTCAACATGCTCTTACATCATTTTGTAATTGTTTGAGCACTGAAGGCCTTTGTGGGCAGGGCCGGCTCTAGGCACCAGCAAAACAAGCTGGTGCTTGGGGCGGCACATTTTTAGGGGCGGCATGGCCGGCGCCAGAATGCTGCCCCTAAAAATGTGCCCCGGCCGCCCTAGCTCACCTCCGCTGCTGCTGCCGCTACTCGCCCTCCCTCCCAGGCTCTCAAGCCTGGGAGGGAGGGGAAGACTCCGAGTGGCTGCGGCGCGGGCGCCGCTTCTCCCCCTCCCTCCTAGGCTTGAGAGCCTGGGGGGAGGAGGCAGGGAAGGGGCAGAGTTGAGGCGGGGCTGGGGATGGGGTAATTAAAAAACGGGGGGGGCGCGGCCAAAATTGTTTTTGCCTTGGGCGGCAAAAATCCTAGAGCCGGCCCTGTTTGTGGGTAAGGATTCTCCCTCCTCTTCAGCTGGCCAATCTTAGTGTAGGCAGGGAAGGACAGGCCCAAGAGATCCTGACCAGGGGGCAGAGGTTCCATAGCAGGGGTCGGCAACGTTTGGCACGCGGCTCACCAGGGTAAGCACCCTGGCGGGCCGGGCCAGTTTATTTACCTGCTGACGCGGCAGGTTCGGCCAATCGCGGGCCCCACTGGCCGTGGTTCGCCGTCCCGGGCCAATGGGGGCGGCGAGAAGCGGCGTGGGCGAGGGATGTGCTGGCCGCGGCTTCCCACCGCCCCCATTGGCCCAGGACGGCGAACCGCGGCCAGTGGGGGCCGCGATCGGCCAAACCTGCCACGTCAGCAGGTAAATAAACTGGCCCGGCCCGCCAGGGTGCTTACCCTGGTGAGCCGCGTGCCAAACGTTGCCGACCCCTGTTCCATAGTATTCCAAAGGTGAATAGAATGGATGGATCTGAGGATGAAGGAGAGAATTGGACAAATCACAGGTGAATTATGAGTGAATGGGACACGTGTGGCCAGGTGACTGTGAGTGTGACCAAGGATCAATGAAAGAGAATATGGGGGGTGATTTGCAGGAAAATGGGTTGCACTTTAGGGTTAGCATTTTAAAACTTGGCTGTTTGAAGCTGGCTCCTAAATCCTTATTTGGGCACCTATATAAAAATGGTCTGGTTTTCAGAAGTTTTAAACCCCTCAAATCCCAGGGAAGTCATTGGGAGCTGCAAATACTCAAAACCTTTTGAAAATCAGCACACTTTTTTGGGTGCTTTAATATGGAATTAGGAGCTACACTTGAGGTATTCAAGTTTGAATATTTTGGTATTGGTGTTTGTAGTGAGGATGGGCTAGAATGTTTTTGGCTGGGCTAGTAAATTTTCTTGATAGTTTTGCAAGGATCATCTAAAGGAAGCAGCTGTGACTCAGAATACACACAACACTTAATTCTGTACTGGGTTTGTTTGCCAGTTGTGTGTGTATATGTATCCATGTGTGTTCACTTGGTGCTTACAAACTCAAGGTTTGGGAACACTGGCTTGAGCCACTTGTAGTGCAGGCAGAAGTCAAGCAGATTTCTCACACACAAAGTTCTGACAGCACACATCAGTTCCAACATTGGAACTTCCTTCTTAATCAAACTGCCATTCAGTCCAGAGACAGAGCTCCAGTAGGGCCTAGCATGCAACTGCCAAATTCTTTACCAATCAGAAAACTCAGGTCTCTAGAAGGTCCTTGCTCAAAGAGACCATATGATTGAATTCAGCACTTCTTTCACTCTCTGACTTTATTACACTGCTGTTGAATATATGCACGTTGGATTCTTCAGTGGTTCCTGTTTTCTTTGCTTCATACAGGGTGGGCTGATAAACTTTGAGAAGAGGAGACGGGTAAGTCTGAACTCCTTCCATGACTAGCATTTTGCTGTCACCCTGTTGTAGGGAATCCAGCTTGTACTTTACTTTAGGGACTTACTCTTTTCCCCTGGTGCATTCCCAACTACCATTGACTTCAATGGGCGTTACCTGCAAATAAGGATAGAACAGTAGACCGCTATGTGTGTGAGCCCACACAAGCCTGAAGAGGCTGGGGAGTGAAGGAAGGACTGCCAATTATTAGATGGGTGCTACAGGGGAAAGGAAGTCCTAAGCACTAGTCAATATACTTCTAGAACATTTATGCATGGGAACTGTACATTCACTGCCTATGAGCATCAGTGGAAGAAGTCTGTTATCTCATAAATCCAACGTATCTACAGCAGAACAGACCTGCTAGTAAGTGAAGTTTGCTTTTTAGAGAGCATAGCATGAGTCTCGTAAACTTCCTTAGTTTGCTGCATTAATCTGCTTCATTGGATCCAAAGAAAGGATGCGGAGGAGAATGAAAGGGTGATACGGGGCGGAGAAATAAATGCTCTCAGCCTGCCCTTTCAGTCTGCCCTGCATTGGTTGCACAGATAAAGAGGTAAGGAAAAGCCGCGTAGAAGGCAATGTGCTTGGGTCATATCTGTCTGAATAAAGACAAACCAAAGGCAAATCTCCTTTTCAGGGACTCAATGCAGACTTTGATTTTTGATGTGATAAGGCCCATTTCCTTACTCTTAACTGATTCCTAGCTCCATAAACCACATTTTAAACTTCCCTTTTATTTATGACTGGGTGGCTCAGGGTATTGATAGTGGGGCACAAAAGCACCTGTGACTAAGTCGCCGGCCCAGTTCAGCCCAGATTGGTAGTAAATGAAAGTTGTTGCCATCTGATGGTTGGTTGGTAGTCTCAATCCAGTTCCTAGGTGCTGAGTCTGCCCTGCCTTCCACCCTGTGCTGTAATTTACCCCTCAGCAAAGCATGTGTAAAACAATACCAAATCCAAATTCTCCATTCGTTCACACCAGGGGTAGCATGTCACACTCACGTTACACAAGTATAAATGGCTGCACAACATAGAAGGCAGTGGAAGGCAGATTTCTTCATCAGTCAACACTATGGACACCCTTGTTTGTAGTCTCAGCAATGAAAGGACCGAATAAGCACAGAGAATGAACTCCCTCTAAGGGTGGTCCATCTGGGTCAGGGATGAGGCATCTGAGTGGGACAGTGTGTGGAAGCTTTTGCTGCTATTTTCCATGATGTCCCTAGTCTATGACTTCAGTGTGCAGCACTGTCATTCTGGCATCTTATGCCAGTGCTAAACGCACATTAGAGTTTGTCTCTCTCAAAATCAGTCATACTGAAAGGCAGAGTTCCTGGTGTTGGGAGATTGTCCTATTTTTCCATATTTTAACCTGTGGAGCTTTGATGAAACTTGCAAAAACCCAAAACCTGTTTGGGAAAACAAAAGATGGATTTTGTTGTTGAAAAACTGCTTTGTGGTGTCTAAAATTGCCTGGGTATTCAGTTAAGAATGAAGCAGTCTTTAGTTTGTCCTGTGGTTATTGGTGCGTGTGTTCTGCCCACTTATCCTTGCTTTGTATGTGAATGAGTCTGTATTTGGCTTTGTTTTGATTTCTAATTAAAATTCCTATTTGATTATTTGTTTCTTTAGGAGTTTGAAGTAATTGCCCAAATTAAGCTCTTGCAATCTTCCTGTAATAGCTATTGCATGACGCCAGACCAAAAATTCATCCGATGGTTCAGGAGACAGCGGCTGTTAACAGAGGAGGAGAGGTGAGACTATCAATGCACTCAAGGGAGCATGTTTTTCATGTCCAGCCTCCCATCTATGTGTATGACCTATGTCTGGCTTAGATAGTCTCATAGTAATTTAAATATACTGTAAATTAAGGATACAGCATGTATGTGTGCCTTTTAGCACACAGCTGGTGAAAACTTGGTTAACACTTTGCAGGATTTAGTTTTGAGACTGGGAATTTGGTTTTCAACTTTAAAATGTTATAGCGTGTTGTGTCTGACCTGTATGTCTGTCAGTCTGTGTGTGTGCATACATATACACTCAGTATTACCTAGAGGTGTGAACCTATGATACATACTTCACAGTACTATAAAATTCATCGTCAAAGGACACCGATTTCAACTTAAACAGAGTGACAGTGTTCAGTCCCATCCTGCACAGTATATAATCCCTTTTCTTAGATTGCTTTTATGATATAGTTAATATGATCAAAAAACCACATTTGAATTCTTTTTAAACTATTGTAAAAAAAGCAAATACTCCTTTCCTCAAGGTACAATGCGTGCAGGCTGATGTTTCTCTGTGCTGCATTGCGGTAATCTCTTGTTGAAACTGGAGTAACTGAATATCTCTCTCTTTAAATTATTGCTAGTCTGAGGCCATATTGCATGATGATAAAATGATATTTAACTCCCTCAAACAAATAAATCTTCCCTGTTGTAGTTATGGCCTCTCATGTGAGATAGAAGCAGCTGCTGACACTAACACCACGTCACCGAAACCTCGGAAGAGTATGGTGAAAAGACTCAGCTTGTGAGTATGACAGAAGGGGTAATGGCATCTGGTGAATTAATAGAGGAATGACCTGAATAAATCAAACAAGAAAAATGTATTCCACCAGACAAGGAACTTGGCAGGGAATCTGATCACTTTAAAGGGACATTGTCAGCTAAAAGTTCATAATTACATCTGCAAGTGTTTATTGAATTATTGTTCCAGGTAATACTTATGATGACTACAGCTGAAAAAGATTAGAAACAAATCATTCAGTGGTTACCAGCCTTTTTGGGGAATAGGAGAAGTAACAAATTTAGGGCCCACTTATAAACTCAGTGACGCTGATGTTGCTCAGGAATAACGTCACCAAATACAATGGAATTATACCGTGCAAAAGCAGAGTAAATGAGATCAGACTGAGGCCCACAGTTGGTTTAATTTATTGTATGTGCAAAAATTTTCTGCAGAATTTTAACATGAAAATTAGAATCACCTAATTTATTTATTTAAAAAATTAAAAAGTCTCCATGCGCTGCCCTCAACCCTGCCCCAAGCACCGACTCCGCAGCTCCCATTGGCCAGGAACCATGACCAATGGGAGCTGCGGGAGAAGTGCCTGCAGGCAGGGGCAGTGCGCTGAGCCACCTGGCTGCCCCTGAGCCTAGGAGCTGGACATGCCTGTCGCTTTCGGGAGCTGCTTGAGGTAAGCGCCACCCGGAGCCTGCACCCCTCACCTCCTCCCGCACCCTAACCCCCAGCCCTGAGCCCCCTCCCACACCCAAACTCCCTCCCAAAGCCCGCACCCCCTCCTACACCCCAACCCCTTGCCTCAGCCCTGAGCTCCCTCCTGCACCCAAACTCCCTCCCAGAGCCCACACCCCCTCCTGCACCCCTGCCCCAGGCTCAGCCCGGAGCCCCCACCCACACTCCGAACCCCTCAGCCCCAACCCCCAGCCCAGAGCCCGCAGCCCAATCCCCTGCCCCAGCCCGGTGAAAGTGAGAGGGAGAGTAAGCAACAGAGGGAGGGGGGGATGGACTGAGCAGGGGTGGGGCCTCAGAGAAGGGGCAGGACAGGGGCGAGGCCTCGGGAAGGGGTGGGACAGGGGGCGGGGCAAGGGTGTTTGGGTTTGTGCAATTAGACAGTTGGCAACCCTAAAATCATCCTGTAAAGTAGGTACATACTATCAACCCAGTCAAACGTTCAGTCTAGTTCAGACAGATGATCAGGAAATGTTGCTTAGCAATTCAAGCACAAGATTGTGGGGAGGGGCGAAAGAGCATGGAGCCAAGAGTTGGCTAAAGAGACAAAGATTAGGGAAAGGAAACAATAAAGAGAGAGGATCTGAAGGAATGTAGGGAAAACGGGGGGAAATGGGAGCAGAAATCAAGGGGGCTCAGCAAAAATGTGTAGAGCCTCAAAGGTGAGTGTGATATGAGAGACGACAGGAAAATATTCATGGAGGGGTGACGTGGTCAGGACAAGAGGAGAAGATGAATTTTACAGCCAACATCAGAATTAATATGAAGACGAAACCTGTCTATTAACTCCTCCTTTCCTGCCTTGATCTTTCACCTGGGTTCCTCAGAACAGTGGACAAACATAAATTCCATGCAAGCTCTGTGGCAATCTAGGATCCTCAGCAATAGACTCTTGATGGCTGAGTATGTCAGTTCTGGTCCTCATAAGATCAGGGTAGCTGTTTGGACAGGAAAGTGTTTGTGTTTGGTTTTGTCCCTTGGAGTTGGTTATGAAGAGGTGTGGGAATGGCAGAGTTGGAGACTGAAGCTGCTGTGTCTGAATCAAGTTGTCTCTCTAACTCTCTCTCCCTGGCATTGTGCCTAAACTGGGTATGGTAAGTGTCACTGTTGAGTACTGGGTTTATCCTTCTATTTCCCACCATATTTCAATGTAGCTCTTGTATTATAAATTAGCATAGAATAGTTAGGCTGAGGTATTTGTGTTTGCTGTGTAATCTTTGTTTTAAAAATTGTGGTACCTGCAATCTGAATATATTTTGCAAATTAATACTATAATAGTGCTTGGCATAATTCTTCCCTGGACGTTACATGGCACCATTCTGGGTTCTGTCCACTGATGAGATGCCTTGTCAGCACCCAACTTAATTTGCCTCACCCCTTCAACATATTGTTATACCAAATTAAATTCCCTCTAGACTCCTTAGACTGACTTAGACCCAAACTCAGAGGTGAGTTTAAGTGAATCTCCAAGAATATAAAATCATGTAATTTACACCTTCTTCTGGCCTTCTCATTGTATGTATAAATTATATCCATTTAGAGTCTTAGAGAGAAATTAATCTCTGGTGTAACCCTGTTGAAGTCATTAAAGTCGCACAAGGGATGAATTTGGCATTTGTAGGCTTAGTTTGAATCCTTTATTCGGTTAGATTCCCACCCACTCACTGACGTGTCTTAACCCTTAATCTCTCTTCTGAATTTTGCCCCACCCCCCAAGTCTGAGTGCAAGAGATTCTAAGATGATGTAATTCACATGTCAGAGGGGTCAGAAAAGAAGCAAGAAAAGCAACTAACAGAGAGTTTAGAAATGTGTGAGCTGAAGTAGGCTTACTTTAATTTACCTTTTTCCGGCTCATTGGTGTGTAAGTTACACCAAATTAATCACTCATTGATCAGTTGATTTAAATAACTGTAATGGAGTCTAACTTACACCACCTAGTACATTACCCCTGACTCTGGCTCTGTGGTTGGAGAGTGTGTGTGTGTGTGTGTGTGTGTGTATTATATATTATTGGGGTACTAATGTGTTGGTGTTTAAGGAATTCTTATGGCAAATCTTACATATAATATGGATGGAGCCAGGACACCAGACCACTTGAGAAACAAAATAACACACTGGACATATGAATCAAGCGTCATCTCTTTGATCAGTCCAGCAACATTCTGTAGTTGTATTATTTACGTGGTATATTTTGGGTTCTTTGCCAGACTGTTTCTGGGAGCAGATGTGATCACCAATAGCACACCCACCAAAGAGCAGCCCAAATCTACTCCAAGTGGGAGCTCTGGTGAAAGCATGGATTCTGTCAGTGTATCATCGTGTGAGTCGAACCACTCTGAGGGCGAAGAAGTCTGCATCACCCCCATAGACACTCCTGATGAGCCTCAGAAAAAGGTACAGTGTAGACCCTTAGTTCAGAAGGCTTGCAGCATGAATACCCCTGATGAATAGTTGACCCTTCTAGTATAAGCAATAGCTGAAATTTCAGTTGCATTGCACACTCATGTCTACTCTTATAACTGACCAAGGCTCTACTTTCAAGGAAATGGGAGTATCCTTAAAAATAGATGTGATGAAAGTAGAAAAGATCCAGGTCAGGCTTTTTATACGATTCCTTTTATGAGCAGCTTTTGGGTGTTGCCAGATCTATAGCATGTACACAGGGGGAACCATTTTTAATTTCTTGGGATCAGCTTTTCTTGTGGGGTCTGGAGGGATTTTTAGGTAGTCATGTGCCCATGTAACTGCACTAGATCTGTCTCTCTCAACACACCAGTTGTGGGAGTGACAGAGCTGTCTGTAATGGCATGTTTATGCTGGGAGGTTATTGGCTTCCTGGCAGTGGGACCAACAGACTGAAGAGTGTGTGCGCAAATATCAGATTGCTTGTGGTGTTCCTGAGGCCCAGTGGATGGGATAATGGCAGTGAGAGGCAGGGCCTAGAGGATTTCCATTCTCCCTTTTTTTAAAAACCAGGGAGGCAAAGCCTTGTGGAGGTGAATGGAACCAGCAACAAGCATTTCCTCCTGGAACTTCTCAGGTTGAATGAGCTCATCTGCACTTAGCCTTAGGGTGGTTGGACTTTCTATTGAGCCCCTGGTTCTGCTACAGAGTTGCCTCCAGTGGTTCAGCTGCCTCCAGTGGTTCAGCATGGTGAAAATGGCTATGTCCTCACTTCAGAAAAGGCAGGGTTTTTTACAATGCAATAGCTCACCCACATTAACTACACTGCTGTAAAACCCTGGTAGAGGAAGGCTCCTGTGGTTTTTACCGTGAGGGAGCTAGGTGAGGTCAACACTATCCCCCTGCTTGTGGTTGACCTCACCTAGTTCACCATGCAGTAAAACTGCTGTGCTTTGTCTCCACTAGGATTTTACAGCAGGATAGCTAATGTGCATTTGTTATTCTGCTGTAAAACCACACCAGTTTTTGGCAATGAAGACAAAGCCTAAAGCACTGTGCAGGGGAAGCTGGGGACGTGTGGAAGTGGGTAGCCGCACTGACACAAAAAGGTGTGGGTAAATGATTCACAATAAGGTAGAAAACATACTGCAGGCCCTGGGGAGACTCCACCAATATGGCAGGAGGAGAGAAGAAAATATCAAAATGAGAAGCCAATCAGAGGGGAATTGGAGAAGGGAAAAACCAACAGTGAGGCCTTGTCTACACACACACTTGCACCGGTTTAATTAAACTGCTTCAGTCAAACTGGTGCAAGCCCCTCTGTGGACTCTCTTATTTCAGTGTAAGAGTCCTTTGAGTGATTGCACATGTGCATTCCACTCTTGGTGTCTGTGCCCCCAGTGCACGGCCCTCGGAAACTTTTTCCCTCAGCGGCACCCATTGGGTGGCTCAAGCTCCCCCTGCTGCCGCATGCCACTGCATGCAAGTATAAAGGGCAGAGCTGCTCCTTGTCCTTCTTACGGCCCACGATGGTCATTGGATCTCTGTTCTGTACCAGAGCAGTTATCCTCTTGGCCTTTGTAAACATAGTCTGAGCGTGTGTATATACATATATATAGTTAGTCCTATTCTCACCCACCGCAATGCTCGTTAGACGTGACAGCAGCTAATCAGAGAGAGCGTTAAGTGCACCAGGCTGCTACCCTCAAATCAAAGGCTGAGTTGCCAGTGAGGAAAAGGGTGTTTTGGGGATATTTGACTGTTTGTGTTTCACCTAATAAAAGAGCCCACTTCCCTTTGATTTCTGCTGACGTACCCCTGCTGTTCGGGAGCTTTTTCCCAAACCAGTTTTCTTCTGCAGTCTGGCATCCCACAACTTCCTTTGGTTCGTTGTATCTGCTGCCACCTGCTGGTCTGTTCTCCAAGGAGCAGCAGAAAACGAAAAGGGTATATAGTAGTGGAGTCCAGCAGCACCCATACCGGACAGGGTTGGCGGGTGGGAAAGTTTTTAATGTGAATAGTAAATTGTCAGATTACTCCTTGCAGAGGTGAGAATGCCACTAAGAACTTTAGAAACCTGGCATATATTTTACAATAACTGAATTCCTGATTGTGCCTCTCTTGCCCCTCCCCCACCCCAGAAATGACAATTCCATGGTCATGTTTCTAATTGTATGTTGTTTTTTCTTATTTTTTTTTCATTACTTAGCTCTCTGAATCCTCCTCCTCTTGTTCCTCCATCCATTCCATGGACACGTCTTCCTCAGGGGTGTCATCTTTAACCAACACTATCTCACCCCCTCCTTCCTTAACCTCCAATCCCAAGATCCACAAGCGCTCCATCTCCGTCACATCCATTACCTCAGCAGTATTGCCTCCTGTTTACAACCAGCAGAACGAAGACATGTGCATCATCCGGATCAGCATAGAAGACAACAATGGCAATATGTACAAGAGTATCATGGTCAGTAATGTGGAAGAGCTAAATGTTTTTATTAGTACTGAGATGTTTTTGTTCAGGGTGACCAATTATATGCAAGGTCTCAGCCTTGGTGCAAATCAAAGCAGCTAAGATTTTAAATGCTAAGGGCCACATCATGCCCTTGATTCTTGCATTCCAGTATTCACAGTATGTTCCATCTTCTGAACTCCCCCTGGGGTTTCAGTTGGCTCCAGTTCATTGCTTGTCCCAAATTGTTGTGTCATGCTAGTGGTAAATGTGCACTGCATTCCACTTTTAGCGGTAGCTGCATTTAGTAGTGGACACTCCCACTGCTCCACACACCCATTCCTCCCCCCACACACATCCCTCTTGAGTTTCAGTTCTTTTGAGTGAAAGATGTTATTTAAACAATACCTAGCACTTAGCTATATAGGGATCTCAAAGGGCATATAATTGTAAGGTGGTGTTATAATACAATATCTTTCTATCATATCGAATCTATTTCTAATGCATCCATCATTATGATATTTGGATTTTAATCATAATCTTTGTCCCAAATTCAAAGTTTTATTTGTATTTATTATAATTAGTAGAAAAATCAAAATAAGTCTTGTGAAAATTTCAAACAGGGTTTTATTGTATGGGTTTTGGAAACTGTATCTATTTTTAGTTTATCAAAATTTTCCCCAGAGATTTTCAACAACTGTAATAAAAACACTTTTTTTCAGTATCAAAGACTAAAATTTTTAAAAATAAATATTTTTGATTTTGAAAAAATCTCATCACATGATTGAGCGGATGAGTCAAAACTGGCACTGGAAAGGAAGCCCTGAAGCTAGAAAACCAAAATGGCAAATGGAACCCCCCTCTCTCCCCAAATCATAAATAATTAAAAACAATAAAGGAAAATTGAGAATGAAAATTTTTAAAAAGGAAAAATACTGAGAATATAAGAATATTTTTCTGAAAATTTCATTGTGAAAAATGTCCAAATTTCATCCCAATTTTCTCCAAATGAAAAATGTTAACCAGTTCCGGTGTTAGTTTGGGGGATGGAAGATACAAATAACAAATTTTTATACTTGAGGTTTGAAACTCAAAGAAGGAATGTGGCAGGTTTGACTGAGATTGAATGGGCCAATTTTCTGCCTGGAGGGAATTTTTTTTTTCTCAGTACCCCCTGAAACTAGTGACTGTACAATGGAAGGTCTGACAAGCTGTTGAACTGAGCAGTGTTCCCTCTATAATGAAAACTACCAGCAAGTGTGCAGCAATGCTTCCATCCTATAGCTCCATTTGGAATCCCTCTCATCCAGGTATAGATGATCCTCTGTGAAACATTTCCATTTAAAGGGAAACTGTCAAGATATAAACCATGGACCAGATGCGCAGCCGTGCAGCTGCTGCTGGCACAAAGTGGTAGCAAAGCTAATGGATCTAAGCAATGCTCTGATGGCACAGGATTGCTATAGTCGCTTCTTTATTACTCCCTCATTCCAGCTTGCAGCAGAGTGGTCATGACTGGGACTCTGTTATGTCCAGGGGATCCCAGTTGATTGAATGATCTCATACAGCTAGAGACATAGAAGAGAGCAGCCTTCATGGTGGTCTCTTATATCAGGGACTGACAAGACTTAGAGGCTCTAGGATTGGTGGCAGCATATACAACAAAGCATGTACAACAACACTTTGTAAATGTCACTATTGACGATGCTATCAGTAAAAACAACAAGGAGTACTTGTGGCACCTTAGAGACTAACACTAAAACCCACTTCATCAGATGCATGGAGTGGAAAATACAGTAGAGAGGTATAAATACACAGTACATGAAAAGATGGGAGTTGCCTTCTCAAGTGGGGGATCAGTGCTAACGAGCCAATTCAGTTAAGGTGGAAGTGGGCTATTCTCAACAGTAGAATACCAAGGGAGGGAAAATCACTTTTGTAGTGGTAATGAGGCCAATGTAATCAGGATGGCTCATTTCAAACAGTTGACAAGAAGGTGTGAGTATCAGCAGGGGGAAATTAGTTTTGTCAACTGTTTGAAATGGGCCACCCTGATTACATTGGCCTCATTACCACTACAGACCAACCTGGCTACCACTCTGAAACCTGATGCTATCAGTGTTTCTCTGGACTGGGCCATTTTCCTATGTTGACTTCTTTACATACCTCACTTATGCCTCACCCACAAGCCATGGAACAAACACTCCATGTATTTATTTATATATTTTTGAATGGGTGAACCAAATAAATATTTTGCAGCTTGCAGGACACCTTTTTTTAAAGGAATTGATCCCTCAGGTGCTGCAAAGAGCAGTGAACTATGGGCCTGAACCAAATCTCACTGAAGACTATGGGAATTTTTCTACTGATTTCAGTGTGCTTCAGATGACGCCCTAGATTCATAGGTTCATAGATTCTAGGACTGGAAGGGACCTCGAGAGGTCATCGAGTCCAGTCCCCTGCCCTCTTGGCAGGACCAAATACTGTTAGTTCAGTTAGTTCAGAACAAGTGACACTTCCACGGCAGACTGCAAACTAGGTACAAGGCCAAAAAATCTTCACAAGGTTTCAAAGCAAGTATTTACCCCCATTAGATTCCAAATTAATTGCTGCCTATGAGCAACAGATGGAGAAATTATTTATGTGGAAATTTTAAGCCTAGTACAAATGACACCTCATCTCTCAACACATTTGCTCAAGGGAGCTGATTATGTTATTTACTGATCTCTCAGTCGGTGCAGTATCTATCTTCCTGCATAAAACAAATTATTTCAAAAAAGTCATAAGTAGCACATTTTAGTGCCCACCAGTAGCTACTATCTAATTCCTAAGAGGCAATAGTTTCTTAGTGCTTTGGGAAACTCACCCCCAGACCCAGTGATGCATTCAAAGCAGACTTTTATACATCAGTTACAATGTTTAGATAATAAGTAAAGTGAAGAAGAAAAAATCCTCATTGCAAAATTCTTTTTCCAGTTGACTAGCCAAGACAAGACTCCGGCTGTCATTCAGAGAGCTATGTCAAAACACAACCTGGAGGCTGACCCAGTCGAGGATTATGAACTTGTTCAGGTCATCGCTGAGGACAAAGGTAAGAAAACACCAATGCTTGCTGCTTAAAAAGCTCTTCAGATTTTGCAGGAAGAAAGTGAATATGAAGCAACTTCAGAAACACAAGTGGATTTTTCTTCAGCCAGTCAGTTTCGGTAGATCTGTGATTGATTCATTGATCACTACAGGCCTGTCCTCCGCTTTGGACATGAGCAAATGCAGAATGGGAGGACGTACAGTCCGAGATCCCAGCTTCAGAGTGTAAAGAGATGTGAAGTTAGGGCCATACGGGAATGAACAAAGAGCTGGGAGTGTAGCATGCAGATTCCATGCTGCCAAAAAATCACAGGGAATACCTGGCCATTTCCCTGAGATCTCAGGACACATGATTTGCCTAGCTGCATACTCCTCCCAGCCTGTCCCTGCACTGACAGCATGGCAGTTTCCCATTAGCTGGACTCCACCACCTATGTGTTCCCACCCTCTTCAATGGCATGTGCAAGCCACCACGGGGAAGTTTGTCCTGCCTTGAACAGCAGTGGTCTCTGCAGCAATTTGCAATGAAAATTCTCTTGCAGTACAGCACAGAGAGCAGCTGCTCCCTGGCTCCCCCTCACTCAGCCAGGCCGGATTCCTTTTTATCCACAGAGCATTGAACACAGAGGGTTAGCGTGCAGGTATTTCCTCGCCCTGCACCCTCACCTTCTGGCTGTCTGACTTCACTATCCTTTGAGTCCCTACCATGGTACAGAGTGGAGTGAAGCGGAGCCTCCCTGCCTCCCTATATAATACAGATCCATGAAGTAGCCAGCATGACAAATCAGATAGGCACGTGCAAAGCAATGCCTCCGTGCAGGAACATAAGAGTTGCCACACTCAAACAGACTATCTGGAGGTCTGTCTAGTCTACTATCCTGGCTCTCTCAGTGGCCAGTACTAGATGCTTTTAGCCTTCCTAAATTCCCAGCAGTTTCAAAGGGGCACAATATACTTTACTTCCTGTTCTTAATTGCTGTGCATTATGGCTGCACACTGTTAAATAGATGTGCTTCACCCCAAACAAGGCTACGCTTCAGTGATCACTGAAATGATTCCTCTACTGCAGGGGTAGGCAACCTATGGCACGCGTGCCAAAGGCGGCACGCGAGCTGATTTTCAGTGGCGCTCACACTGCCCGGGTCCTGGCCACCGGTCCAGGGGGGGTCAGCATTTTAATTTAATTTTAAATTGAAGCCTCGTAAACATTTTTAAAACCTTATTTACTTTACATACAACAATAGTTTAGTTATATATTATAGATTTATAGAAAGAGACCTTCTAAAAACGTTAAAATGTATTACTGGCATGCGAAACCTTAAATTAGAGTGAATAAATGAAGACTGGGCACACAACTTCTGAAAGGTTGCCGACCCCTGCTCTACTGAATGCAGTTTGTGAATCTATTGGTAAAGCATATTAAGATCCTTTTCCATATAAGATCATTATTATGTATTATTACTAGAGTTAAAGATCAGGTGGCTAAAGCATAGTTTAGAGTCACTATAGGGATGATGTAAAAATGTTTTTTATACCTTTGTGCTTCGACCCTGATTCAGCAAGGTACTAGGTATGTGCCTAAATTTGCAGCATGTAATTCCACTGGTGTCAACTTAATGCCCCTACTAGCTCTCTATGAATTCTGTCCTATTAATGTGCTGAATTAAAAGTAAGATGTTACTCCTGTAATCCCTGGAAGCCCATTCAGGTGCAGAACAAACTGGATTCTCTTCTGCCTAATGAATCCTCTACAAACTTGTCATCTAAGCTCTGGTTTTGAATCCTTATTCTGGGCGATGGATGTAAGAGGCAGAAAGAACCCAGCCAGGTTTGTCAGATGCCAGGTGGAGTTCTAGGTCTGGTAGTTAGAAAAGGCTTGTTTGAACCTATAAATTGAGCTGATTTGAACTGCTACCGAAGGATAATGACCCATGATGTGAGTGCTGTGCTCTCACATTTCTAACCATGACCTCCATGTCAGGAAATCACTATATTGGCAAAGCTCTGCCTCATTCCCCAGGATCAGTCAGTCGTGCTATGCAGACCCAAGGATGTATACCAGACATGAAAAAGCAGCTCTCTCTGAGAGCCTTTTCATTAGTATCTGTTGGAGGCATTCCTGCCCGCCCCTTCCTCCCTGCCCAGGGCAAACCTCGTGGGACACTTCATGACTATGCAAAAGAGGGAATGATTTATTTAGGGCTGTGAAATTGCATTTAGTCTCAGCTGCTGCAGAGATTCCTTGGGCTGCCACGCAGGGAAGCTATTTATTGATAGTCTACTAGCCAGATTTATAAAGGGGTCTTGTTAATGAGTTAGGGTAACCCATCAGCTAGAAAAATGTCATTGCTATCACAGCCTAGGCACATATCTGGTGATCGTCAACAGGGCGGCTGTAGATGGTGGAAGTGGTGCCGTTTTTCTGTATCACGTAATGTATAAACATTTTCAGGCATCCAATCCAAAAAAATTGTTAAATAGCAAAAAGGGCCATTACTCGAAGAAACATAGTCTGATTGATTTTGACCAAAATTGGCAGATAGCTGCATTATCAATTGTATTTAGAAGCTATGTACTTAAAGTAGACTCATAGACTTTAAGGTCAGAAGGGACCATTATGATCAAAGTAGTACTGTTTTGGAAAAATTGGGAAATATTTAGCCCCATGTGATATACTTTATGCATTTTCACATACTTTTTTGCCATCGGTTAAAGCAAAAGTCTGTAGTCATACAACAGTATGAGCTTGTTTGTACCATGTAATTTATCAAAATAATTGTCATTCTTTGTAGCATGGATTGATTTGAGGGGGAAAAATTGCTATTTTACATTTTATGAATATTGGCTACTGTCCAATGACTCCTTCACTGGCAACTGATGTTAACACAGTGCACACCATGATGAAATATTTTCAGGATATGTTCCACTCTCTGAGCCAAAACTGGACCTATGTCGTGTATGGTGAAACAATCTACTGCAAAGCACTGTTGATTAAATGGAGGAATCAAAACAGATTTGACAATGACCACCTTGAGATGGGAGGCATTCATCATGCAGCAAATTTCATGGGTGATACAGCATCTATGGTGCTTCAGCCATGCTCTAAGAGGGAAGGCATATAACCATGGCATTAGAATCCATAAACGTATGAATGAGGCGATGACTTGCTTGAAGTGGGTGGCACTTGGCAATTCCATGAACATTGATGTTCTCCCAGAAGATAAGAAGAGACACATCTTGGAGAAGGCTCGAACACACATTGAAGCTTTTGAAGATGTGGAGCAGGCACACTGAGAAAACAGATTGGAAGCACGGAATGCTCTGGCAGACTTGATGAACAGCTCCCAAGCATTGCACCAGCTCATGGACACTTACTTTACCCAAGGGAAAAACTGTTCAGATACATTTCCATCCTGGGAAAACTAGGTAACACATTGCTCCCAACCACTGATGGATTACATAGCAGCAAAGAGAGGCAATAACAAGTCCATGGAGCTTGAGACATTTTCTGAGATGATCCCACTATGACAGTGTGGTCATATGAATTATGCCAGATGGGTTGTGTAAGTGTTAGCAGAAGCCAGATCTCTGGAGGAGGAGGAGAAGCCACATATATATCATGCCCTAGCTGATAGTCAGGAAGCAAGGTACCAGACTGCCAGACTCTTCAGTGGGGTACTTACACCGTGACATGGCCATTGAGCAATCTCTGAACAAGGACTGTAGGAATCATCAGCATCTTTGCACAAAAGATATGGCTCTGACCAAGGATTACCTGACTGCACGTTTTAAGGCAGCTGTAACAGCTGTGACAAAACAAAGGTGTGGAATTCAGCCTTCGATCTCCACAAAGAAGCTACTACAAAACACATGGCTGCAGATGAAATTGCTGTCCAAAGTATTAAAAAGTGACTGAAAGAATGACAAATCCGTTTATCATTGAACCTGGAACAAGCCCACACAACAGTCACTTGTGAACGTTGCAACATCTACTGTGGGCCCACCTGAAAGTGCGGAAGGTTTGTGCATGATGAGAGAGACTGGCACGCGATAAATGAAGCTGTTTGTAACCAGGAGGCTGCAAAGGGGCGAGGGAGACCTCTTTGAGCTTATAGAAAGGCATAATCTCAAATCATTTGGTAGTCTCAACAAAACAATCAAACAAAAGAAGAAGCAGTCAGCACAAGCGATAACTATTGATCGTCAGATATTCAGCAAGCTGACAGGTTTTTTGCCCAATCCAGAGATGTTGATATCCAGGGTCTGATGACACGTGAGCTGGCACCTGTCCCACTTTCCCTCTTCAACTTGGGTGGATCTCTAAGAAAGGCCCAAAAGAGCAACACACTGTCTTGGCTGGAGAAAAATCTGTCAATGGTTGAGCTACCAGCATCTGATGAGCGAACGTCAGCTATTCTTGAACTCGGGATGCTTCTGCTGATGGTGTGCAATGATACTGCCAAGTGCAAAACTACTGGGGAGCTGTCTGATCAGCTGCTGCACACTATCCTCAGACTGCAATGTCCATACACTGCTATTGTGGGGGACAATTATGCAAATGAAGAATCAATCAAATCTGGTGAGGGAGCCCGCAGGGGGAATGTCCAAATGCAAGACGTTCAGAGCCCCTACTCTGTTCATTAGCAAAGCAACGCTTGCAGATGATATCAAATTCAAAGAATAAATCTAACATTGCAAACTTTCTCCTCAGTGACGGGATTGTGGAGTGTGGACAGAGATTGTCACCTGGTCGTTACATATAATGACCTGTCATTTATAAACTTGCTCCCAGTACCTACAGCATGAGCAGTTTTCAGGGCAAAGAGCAGATATGCTCAAGATGATATGACAGTCTAGAAGGGTTAGTTAACAAAGAACCGAGCAGTAGCTGAATCAAGTAGTCCTTGCTCAGGATCACTAGCAAGATTTGAAGGTAGGTACCTGAGGTCCAACCCAACTACAGCTTTTTCAGAATCAGCAGCCTCTGGCTAACAGGTATCTTTATTGTACTGTAGTACAATCAGCAAGCATCTCTGGCTAAAGTGTGCTACAAGTTTTTGCTAAGAACACCAAAGCAAGTGAGAAACTGCCATCACCTTCAGGCAGCACCTGAAATGTGTAAATTATAATTCATAGACAGGAAATCATGCAACAGTTCAGTATCTTTAGGTGGCCCCTGTCAACAGATGGGTGATGGATAGCATGGGACATCTTGTTCCTCAAATGTTGGTTCTGCCACCTGCTCCAGAAACCATCTTTGCCTTTATGCAGCATAGCTGGGAAAGTATCTGTGCAACAAAGAGATGCAAATACCACCACGAAGATTTGGTGTGCTGCAGCGCACTCAGTTGTGACAGTGACGAGTGTAGCAGAAGAGCACTGAATATATCAGAGACCGATTCTGAGGGGGAGTGGAAATGGTTCAGCTATCTGCAAATTACTGAGACTGTTTTTGAGAATAAATATAGCTCTGCGGAGTGTTGTATTAGACATTCAGTAGGTCATAGTTATATGTAGGCGTTATATAAGAGTATACGGTTATACTTTGTTGTTTACACAATATATTCACATAAGATATTCTATAGTCCTTCTACTACGAATCATTACTGTTTGTAGAAGTAGTTTACATGTATTGTCACTGCATTCAGTGATGGTAAGATGATCATTACAGTTGTACCACGTGTGCTTTAGGCTTATGTCTCTGGCCGAGTAGATAATGTAAAAAATATGTTTTGTAATTAAGGGGTAGGGAGGCTTAGTATCTGCATAGATTCATAAAAATAGCAGACAAAACAAATCTTTGCTCACATCAGTCTATTCTATAAATGATGACAGATGTTTTGAGGTATTACATGGCACAAACAAGCTCTTGCTATCATGCGACTACAGGCTTTTACTCTAACTGAAGGCAAAAAAGTACAGGAAAATGCACACATATTATCAGGGGCTAAATATGTCCCAAACTTCCCAAAGCAGTACTATTTTGAGGGCATTGGTGCATTATCAATTTATTTAGAAGCTTTCTGCCAATTTTGGTCAAAATTAAAGTCTGCGTTATGGCCCTTTTTGTGATTTTCATGACTTTTTTTCCAATTGGATGCTGATAACGTTTAAACATTATGGTATATAGGAAAACGGCTCCACTTACAACATCTACATCCACGCTGGTGTGATGACCACCACATATGTGCCTAACAGGGGGTAGCAATGACATGGTTACCTCTTAGTGTCCAAAACAGGTGCGGGCTGGTAGACTATGAGAAAAAGTCCCTAACGTAGTCCGCCTGGAAAGCTTTTTTCCTATTAGTATATTTTACAGTGACACCTCACTGGTTCTCTTTTCTGGTAAGTCTCCCTACCGTGACATGCATTAGTGGTGGTGGTATGTGTTGAGAGTGGCAGCAGCTGGAGGTGATGCAGTGCTCACCCTGAGAAATACAGTTTCAATAGTCAGACAGAACTGCAGTGGGAGAGCCAGGCCCAGAACCTACAAACCACTTATGCACGTGCTTTGCTTTACTCATCTAATGTTTGCAGGATTAGGGCTTAAGAGTGTCTGGGGTTTTATTTTATTTTATTTTTTTGCGGGGGCTGAGGGCAGGGGGGCAGGGAGTCTATCAAAATCACTGAACACGTCTGCAGCGGGGACGGGGTTGTTACACCTTCACATAAAAGGTAAAGCCAAATTCTATTAATAAAAACATCAAAGACATGCCCACACCCAAAGCCTACCAAACCACACACATCAAAATGCACTAAAAGCACATTAAGATTGCAAGGACAAGCACTTGACAGTTAGGAAATGTCAGACTTACAGTTTCCTATGCTGCAACCCTAATTCAGACCCCTTGCTCATCCGCATTATGCTAGTCTTTAATTACATGATCACGTCCTATTCCCCCCCCCCCCCACTGGAGTCTGAATTATAGTTCCATGGGCAACTAGTAAATGCCAGTTTTACAACTTTCAAGGGCTTGACTTTGCAACCTAAATAATGTTTTTTAATTTAGCTTTTTTGTCACCATAACATGTCCCTGTTCACAAGGGGAAAGTCTGAGAGGACAAAATGCACAGCTGCCAAATCAGAGTCGCATGTGGGCATTGCAGCCAGATGCCGACATGAGATTTCTTTTCATGCTAGTAACTGTAGTATCAATACTATAGCACATCACCACTGACTTTGTTTCCTCTCTTTGCAGAGTTAGTCATCCCCGACAGTGCTAATGTATTTTATGCCATGAACAGCCAGGTGAACTTTGACTTCATCCTACGGAAAAAAAACTCCCTTGATGGGCAAGTGAAGATGCGGAGCCGATCTAGTTTGACACTTCCCAGAACTGCCAAAAGGGGGTGCTGGACTAATAGACACAGCAAAATCACACTTTGAAGAGAATGAGCTAACACAAAGGAGATTTGGTTTAGAAAAACGAAAAGACCTTTGATACCATCCAGTATTACAAAGTCACGGAAGATGAAGGTGTCAGTGTTTGACTTTGGAAAGATTTGAGACTGGAATGCAAAGTGTGCATTCACTATAGATACAGATAGAGATGAACATCGAGAGAGACAGAGAGATTTATGGGACAGTCACTATGGAAATATATTTTGCACATTGGCCTAGGAAGGTGAGGTCACATATACAGGGAAAAATGGAATTGCCAACCAATCTTATCTTAAGAATTCCACATAAGCTAAATCTCCTCCTTGGAAAACAGATTCTCCTTTGTGCCAGTATTACCTAGAACAAGAACTTTAAATTTATTTTTATACATTGGAGAAGAAAACTGTTGCAATTAAATTCCACCTGAATCAAGCAGGAGGATCTGAACAGCCGTCAGCTGAATGATAACACCGATTTCCAAAGGGTGTGGATGAGTTGATGGCTGCTAGTTCCTCACCCTGTCTGACAAGTGTTTCCTCCAGGAGGCTTTCACATCTGTGAAGAAGAAAGGAGGGTTGAGCCTCTCCCAAAACCCTAGTCTAGAGACACAAGGAAGTATTCAATTGTGTGCACGTAGGTTGGTTTCACAGAACTGACAAACATTTTTTGCAGTTGTTCAAAGCCAGAAAATACATTTTGGGGTTTTTCCAAAGAACATTAAGAAAATGGGCCACGGTTGCTTTTGGATGAATGTCATGTTTTGTTAATGAGCAAGGCAAGGAAACTCCACCATCATTACTTCTCTGGACCTTGTTCACATCTTAATGCCACTACAGTGTGTTCCTTAGGCTTACCTAATCTGTTTAACAGGAATCAAAGGCCTTTTGCATGTACAGTTGCAAGTTCTCCAAATTCACTGATGTACCTCGTTGTAATGTGCAATCCCTCTTCAGGTGCAGAACTCTACATTAATCCACATTGATTCAGTGAGAGGCAACTATATTATTTTGTGTTTTAAAAGTGGCATAAGACAGACATGTTTATTATTCAGTGCCCAAAATTACCACAGATCTTATAAACTTGTAGCATTATTATACATAATCTTCAACCACCACCCTCTCTTATATGCTTCTATTAACTGAATAGTTTCCTGACATGGTACATCCTTCCAGATGGAATAGAGAATTTAACATCCTGAAAAGGCTCCCCTAGCTGCTATTCTCTGTGAAATTTTAAATGACGCATTTCTTAACTCGAAGATACAAGTCTCCCTTCAGAACACATAAATAATTAAAAGGTCACATAAAAGATTTTAATTGAAAGCCATAAATGACACATTGGATTGTAAGCAACACTCACAGAACAGATTGTCTTTTCAGAATACTAAAGTTGGTTAAAATTAACTCAGATCTTGAATTTTATACAAGTCTGGAGCATGTTTTACCAGTTCTGTAGCACTGATTGTCAAAGCTGGGCCTAGATTCCATTACCAAATAGCCATGATGTACCAATAAATGTCTTAAATGGTGTTGGGTCTTTACTATGTAAAGAATTATTCCCATTTAAAAGCCAGCTCATTCTCTATGGTTTGGGTATCTTAAATCCAAGTTGTATTTTTGTTTTGGGGATGAATAGATCCAGTTTTGAACTGAGCCTTAGATGTGTCTAGCGTTAGGTCAGGTTTACAACAGAACTAAAGTTCAGTTTCCTTTGTAGTTCAGTAAAGGCAATGCATGAATGTGGTGGTGAGTTTTACAGTATGTCTATACAGCAGGGGTAGGCAACCTATGGCACGCGTGCCGAAGGTGGCACACAAGCTGATTGTCAGTGGCATTCACACTGCCCGGGTCCTGGCCACCGGTCCGGGGGCCTCTGCATTTTAATTTAATTTTAAATGAAGCTTCTTAAACATTTTTAAAACCTTATTTACTTTACATACAACAATAGTTTAGTTATATATTATAGACTTATAGAAAGAGACCTTCTAAAAACGTTAAAATGTATTACTGGCACGCGAAACCTTAAATTAGAGTGAATAAATGAAGACTCGGCACACCACTTCTGAAAGGTTGCCGACCCCTGCTATACAGTATGACATATAAAGCATAGCCCCTCACCCACACAATATATAGAACTACAAAATCTGGATTTTATATTGCCAAGGTTATGTTGTTGAACATGTCTTTTCCTTTCTTACAGGGAAAGAAATTGCTGTTGGATAAAACTGGTTTCATTTATTTAAGATGAGCAGTTTTAAAAGTAATTTCTCATGAACAAAATGTTTTTGTAATTCTCCTTCTGCTGATTCTTCATCAAACCTCTGGTTCTAGCTGCCATTAATATTTCACTGAAATCAGACCATTAGGCATTAGCTTGTGTGTGTTACCCAGCTGGCCCTGGAATGTTCAGCAACAGTTAAGGATCTAGATCAGACATCCATAGCACAGTGGAAAAACAAATCATTTGAAAGAGAACAATCTAAAAATGCTTTTCGGACAATTCAACTGCGGAATGACACCAGCGCGTATATTCGGTACTCAAGAGCTGCTTGGAAAATTCTTGTCGAAAATTTTGACAGAAATGGGGAAAACATACATGTTCATGATTTATTTCTCCTTCCCTTTTTCCACCCAGCATGATAGCTGTTTGGAAAATAGGCACAGAAAATGAGTATTCTACCTCTGAGCTACTGGATTGTTCCTTGCTAGAGACTACTGCACAAGCAGGAGCCTTAGGGAAGCCGAGACCCAGCTACTTCCATTAGAGCAGCCAAAGCTCTTTCATAGAATCATAGAACTGAAAGGGACCTTAATAGGTTATCTAGTCCAGTCCCCATGGCAGAATTAAATGTTATCTAGATCATCCCTGAGAGGTGCATGTCTAACCTGCTCTTAAAAAATCTCCAGTGATGGAGATGCCACATCCTCCCTAGGCAATTTATTCAAGTGTTTAACTACCATGACAGTTAGGAATTTTTTCCTACTGTCCAATTTAAACTCCCCTTGGTGCAATTTAAGCCCACTGCTTCTTGTCCTGTCCTCAGAGATTAACAAGAACAATTTTTCTCCCTCCTCCTTGTAACAACTTTTTATGTACTTGAAAACTGTTATCATGTCCCTTCTCAGTCTCCACTTCTCCAGACTAAACAAACCCAGTTTTTTCAGTCTTTCCTCATAGGTCATGTTTCTACATTTTTGCTGCTTTCCTCTGGACTTTCTCTAACTTGTCCATATCTTTCCTGAAATGTGGCGCCCAGAACTGGATACAATACTCCAGTTGAGGCCTAATCAGCATGGAGTAGAACGGAAGAATTACTTCTCATGTCTTGCTTACAGCACTCATGCTAATACAACCCAGAAGGATGTTTGCTTTTTTTGCAACAGTGTTACACTGTTGACTGGTATTTAACTTGTGGTCCACTATGACCCCCAGATCCCTTTCCACAGTACTCCTTCCTAGGTAGTCATTTCCCATTTTGTATGTGTGCAATTGATTGTTCCTTTCTAAGTGGAGTACTTTGCATTTGTCCTTATTGAATTTCATCCTGTTTACCTCAGACCATTTCTCCAGTTTGTCCAGATCATTTTGAATTTTAATCCTATCCTCCAAAGCACTTTGTATTGTTCGCAAACTTTGTAAGTGTACTCTCTATGCCATTATCTAAATCACTGATGAAGAGAACTGGACCTAGGACCAATCCCTGCAGGACCCCACTTGATATCCCTTCCAGCTTGTGAACTACTCTCTGGGAATGGTTTTCCAACCAGTTATGCACCCACTTTACAGTAGCTCCATCTTGGATATATTTCCCTAGTTTGTTTATGAGAAGGTCATGTAAGACGGTATCAAAAGCCTTACTAAAATCAAGATATATCACAGCTACCATTTCCCCCTCCACAAGGTTTGTTAACTTGTCAAAGAAAGCTATTAGGTTGATTTGAACGCAATGTGTTCTTGACAAATCCATGCTGTTACTTATCACCTTATTATCTTCTAGGTGTTTGCAAATAGATTGCTTAATTATTTGCTCCGTTATCTTTCTGGGTAATGAAGTTAAACTGACCGGTCTGTAATTCCCCCTTTTTATAGGCTGGCACTATAATTGCCCTTTTCCACTTTTCTGGAATCTCACCCGTCTTCCATGACTTTTTGAAGATAATTACTAATGGCTCAGATATCTCTTCATTCAGCTTCTTGAGTATTCTAGTATGTATTTCATCAAGCCCTGCTGACTTGAAGACATCTAACTTATCTAAGTAATTTTTAACTTGTTCTTTCCCTATTTTAGCCTCTGATCCTACCTCATTTTCACTTGCATTCACTATGTTAGATGTCCAATCGCTACTAACCTTTTTGGTGAAAACTGGAACCAAAAAGTCATTTAGCACTTCTGCCTCCCCCCCCCCCCCCCCCATTGACTAATGGGCCTACCCTGTCCTTACCCTTACTCTTGCTTCTAATGAATTTGTAGAATGTTTTTCTCAGTCCTTTGAGTAAGATGAGGGAAGGATATATATAAAGATGCATGAAGCAGCATATGGACTCCAGGCAGGACCCCATTTGTTACATGAGAGAGAGATGTGGTGTTTTGTAAAGCTCCAGTCCTCTTTTCTTCTGTCCCCATGACAGTCCGCACCAGCACCTGCCCCTTTTTTACCTCTGAAGTTTTCTGGAGTGGGTTGTGTTGAACTGTGAGCCATTTCAAAATTCAGATCAAGTTTAGTCTGATTATGAAAAACAAAACTACAAAACACTACTGCACCCACACACAATCAGAGAAAGAGTTTTCTTTGGCTGTGATGCTGCAACCAGCTTAGCACAGGTGAACCTCTGTGTCTACACAGAGCTCATTACAAATGATCTGTAAGTTGTTTGGGGCACGGCCTGTCTTGATATCTGTGTTGCATAGGACTGAGCATGTTCTTAACACATCCGCTAATAATAGGTTTCAATGAGATCTCCAAAAACATGCCATGTTTGAAGTTACTAGCTTCAGCTATTTTTTGACTTATGAATTCAGAATGGAACATACAGGCAAGTGTGTTTTTTTCCTCTTAGATATGTATAACAAAAAACAAGTGCATTAAATTTGCACTTCCTTTCCAAAAAGCTTTTACTTCTGCTTAAGCCAAAGCGTGAACAACTGCCTCCAGAAAGGAATTCATTTGAAAGTAATGAGCAACTGCAAAAGGGAAGGGGGAGAAAAGTATTTATAATAGAGAAGTAGGAATGCAGTGTCACATCAGGATGTTCCTGCTCGCACTCTGCTCATAAGTAAGTTTGGAAAGTAGCAGTTTGCTGGGAAAAATCGGTTTTATTTTGCAGGGAAAAGAGGTGAGGCTACACTCAAGCATCTAGCTAATAAAATAAGACTCATGAAATTATGCAAAACTTGTTCTTTCCTTTTTCTGAAACTGGCATTTACAGCCCCTGC